AAAATGCGCCGAACGTTTTATCTGTGCATTAAAAAAATCTTATTCACAATGCTTTTTGAAAAATCATTTGCATTCATAGCTGGTGACAATTCAAGAGGTGGAAAACTCTAAATGGCAAATCAAAAAATACTGAAAAGTTCCATTTGTTTTCACTGTGTGCTATTATAATTATGGGTACTGGATATAAGATTCATTAATTTGGCAAAGCTTGCTATGGGGGTTGAATATCCCATGCTCATTAAAACACATCCCATATGGCAACTGGATTTTAAAATTTACTAAATTAGTCAATATCTTAATTTAGCTATAAAAATATTCCAATTGAGCTTTGAAATGTTAGCTACACACTGTTGTAGGCAATTTAATTAAAAGTAGCCAGTCAAATGGCACACATTTATAGAGGCGTATCTCAATAAAAAGTTAATACAAATGTTACATCTGCAATCATAGTTTTACATTATAAATGTAACTGCTTTTCTTGATCGAGCTGCATTTGGTCTCATGTTCCGAGTACATTTCGAATGCATTCAGATATTTACCAATAACAATTTCTGTATTTGTCTGTATAAGTAATGATTATGTGCACTTTTTGGCAACAAGAATTTCACTTAAATACTAACTGGTAGCGAATCAGAAGACATCTTAAAATGATTCTGATCTACATGGCAAGTGGAAAAGAATTTTATGCAGAATAATTCAAATAGTTAATTTGGTGCAATCCCATTATAGTACAGTGGTCTGAATCCATAAGCGTAGACTGGAGAGTTAAAACCAAACACAGAAAAGGACAACAAAATGCAAAATACTGCAGATGCTGGAAATCTGAAAACAAAAACAAAAGTCGCTGGGAACACTCAGCAGGTCAGACTCACTTTCCGTTCTCCATAGATGCTGCCTGACCTGCTGAGTGTTCCCACAGAAAAGGACAACTCCCTGGTCTTTGGGTCAGAACGTAACATCACATCCTGCGCTATGTGCAAGAAGTACTGCTGATGTCACTTCCTTTGCAAAATGATTTTAGCAGCACTTTCTGCTCAAAGAAAACATGAAAGCGTAAATATGAGGTGACCTCAGCAGCAACCCAATAAACAGGAAAACGAAAACCTGTCAATCTACATAGGAATCATACTTCACTGGTGGGTCTGCAGCAGACCTATGTTAAACGCAAAGGGTGCGCTCTCGTGAGGTATCGGAGTCACTCTACAGCTACTACCATATTATACGATAATCAGCAATGAAGAGATTCAACCACAATCATATTTGTTTCTTAAAGGTAGAGGCCATTGGAAGCAACCTAGAAAATCACTCATTAATAGTGAAATCCCTTTCCACAGCTCCCACTTTGTTTTGTTCAATATATTTGACTGCAGCTTTCCACCAGTGCTTTCTTGTGCAAACAACTTCAATCTGAGCTATTAACAATATACAGCTTAGTTACCAAATACTATCACTTAGAAACAGATCAACATAGATGCGCACACAGCTACTCATTATTTGCTGCTGCAGTGACATTGCAAGGAATGTGACTTTCATATTGAATCCACTCGTATATTTGAAGCAATTTAATAATATACAAGTAATTTTGCATTTATGATAAGATTGTTACAAATACAGTTTGCTTGATAATATTTTTTTTTGGGGCCTTTTTATATTTCATAAAAGTTGAGCCCTTAACAATCTACTGTTGGCTGCTCTCGCAATCTAGTGTAAGTGCAAAGAGCTGAGTTCAAATGTGCTTGAAACAAAACATTGGTATAGTGCAGTCTGAATAAAAACAATTCCCCAAAGGACCCTATTCATACATTTTTTAGGTGTTTATGTACATATTTTTTAAATTATTTACAGGCATCAGCTTGGCTCAGTTAGCACTATCGCCAATGGCCTGGCTCATAGGCAGATCATGAAGGGTCAGTCATGGGGTCGGGTGAAAAGATTTTTCCCACTGTTAACCCTGCAAACCAAAGTCCTAATGGTAGGGAGGTCCTAGCTGGACAAGCAGCAGGAAGCTTACCAGACAGTGCTCATAATGGCAAGCTCTGCAATTTTAGCTGGTTAAACTTCAGCATTACCTGAACGCTCTTGCCAACCAGTGCCGCAATCAAATAAGCAGGGCGAGTGTGCATTCCACTGAAAACAAATGGCATGCATACGCATACATATGTGGAACTCTCAGTCTTGAATGCTGAAAAGGATGGTGACAGGTTTTGACACTTGTCAGACAGACACCCAGCTGACCAAACAACTGGTAGCACTCTTGGGTTAGAAGATTGTAGGCTGGGATCACTTTGTTAAAAACCTACATAGCCAGTCTGGTTGCTCTTTTCCTTACTTCTAAGACACCAACAGCTTTTTTTGTATGTGTCCAAAATCAGCACTCTTCTAAATGTGATCGAAGGAGTACATTGCAAAGCTTTAACACGACTTCTGCAGAGCTTTAATTTGCTGTACTGGCAGTATCCGAGCATTCCATTAGCTTTCTAAATTGCTTCACCACATTGTCTGGATATTAAAAGCGACTTGTCTATTACTCCCAGGTTGCTTCTAATGCCCCAGTTATACTATATGTTCGGAATAATTTGCTGTGGTTATCACGTTGAAATGGTACTAGACAAGTAGTCATCCAACTCTAGTTTAATTGGAATCTATTTGATTTGGAATCCTTTGTTGAAAACCACCTTCACGAAATGGTTTTGGCATTGAACCCCATGTGCAGTTCAATGTCCAACCAACTCTAAATGCAACAAATAAAAACGTTTTGGGCTGGCCTATTGGGTCTTTAATGTTAGAGAATCAGCTGTCTTGAATAACATTAAAAATGAGTGCATTCAGTGTCAGACAGTAGAACCTTGCACATACTATTTTTTCCACATATATGGAGCACAACCACCTCACTTCAGAAGTACACATAGGATATATGTGTCTATAATCTAACTCAGTTCTGTTCACTGTATATTTATGGACAGGTTCAATCTACATAATTGCAAGAACTATACATTTGCGCTATCCCTTCTTCAAAGAAAGTGCTATCAGCAGCACTTCTTGATATAGTGTGCAGAAAGCAACAACAGTTGCACTTCCTGTAGAAAGCAAGCAGGAAGTGAAGTAAGAAGCGACACAACTCAGACGATAATCATTTATTCACTCTTCCTTTAACTCAGCATCAGATGTTAGAGCCAGGCAACCACGTTACAGCAGTGTTGCCCTGTATGCATCTGAATGAAGCAAATTTGACATTGTGCATGCAAAAGCAGAAATATTTTCTCTGCAGGACAGAACTGCTGCAAAATATGCTTAATAAACAACATTCTGCATTCCTATTCTAGTGTGGAAAACCTGATGTCTCTTCAAAAATCACCTCAGAGCAATCAGAAGTTCCATGGGAAACTGATTTTCAGCAACCACCAAAATACAGTTCTTGCAATTATGCAGTATTTTGGCATTTGCAGATGGTAAAAATAACCCCATTATCCTCTGGTTCCCAACTTGTCTTTTCAAAATTACATATCAAAATATCTGAAACCCCTGTTTTTGACTAGGCATTGTAGATATGATCGCAAATTGCGATGTCCACAGCATCTTATTTCTTACAACATTGGCTCTAATTTTAACATTAAATGGTTCATCATCTAATCGTTTTGGATACAGAAATTTAAAACTAAGTGCTTGTTGAAAAACCTGAATGCATGCTGAACAACTGAATAAATATTACTGGGCAGTTATTGCCCATTAAACGGCACATTCTGTATGCTTTTTAAAAAAATACAAAAATTAAAAACACGTTTAAATTAAACAAAATCTTTAGACCGTTGTTTGCAAATGGCAATGTTAAATGAATAAAATAGATTAAAGTCTCAGAGTAAAACAGAAGAATTATATATAACCACTGTTGACTTATCTTTTTTTCTTCGCAAGCACCACTTGAAAATGTATCCCAAAGTCCAAGACAGGTGACTGATCAATAGCATTCAATATATTTCCTTTCACTTTATCCACACAAAATGTATCAGAATGTTGTGGCCACACACAATTGGATAAAATATTAACTAATGCCAGTTTTAGTCAATACATGTGTATTTATTTATATTAAAAAATACACAATTTAAAAATGTATTGATGCTTTTTTAAAAAATGCAGGAAGATGAGTCTAATATATTGGACCTGTTAGAAAACAGTAAACTGCAAAAAATGCCCAGCATCTGCACTGTAAAACAATGTAAAACTAACTGCTCTTTTCAAATGAGTCAAACAAGATTTTCATATCACTCAATTACTTTCATGACAAAGATCTCCCTAAGGCAAGCATCATTAAAATACCAATTTCATTAAAATAGAGTTTGTTAGTATGCTGCGCGACAGAGCTATTTACAGCCATCAATAGGTCGTCTCTGTTGATGTGTTTCAAGACTTGGGCATTATATCACAACAAATTACTTGATTAGACCTGTAATTGTCTAAAATTGGGTTTTGTACGATAAGGAATAGGCATTACTAAGAAGTAAAATAAAACCTGAATGAGTGGAAGCATTTGAAAACAAGAACTGGTTGAGGTGGGAGCAGCATATAAATAGAACCCCAAACTTCCAAGGTGGAAATCCTACACCTCTTTACAGTTCTAACAGAACTATCCATTTTATAAACCAGGTATTATGAAAATACTTTGTTTGCCACTCTTCTCAACAAGTTATGAATAAACACACTTTCATGATTTAAGACACCACAAGGAAAATCTCCACCGACACGTATATTCCCGAGATGTTAGCTAAACCAGCACATCATAAGTTAGAACTGAAAACTTACTTTTGCTTTCAACTATCATTTCTCTCCAAAGAAATAAAATGCACAACTGTCTGTCTGCTTAACCAGCAACGCAGTAAAACAATTAGGGAAACTAGTTTATTCTAATCCTTATTTAAGTATCAGATCCAGTTATGCTCCAGCTAAGGTCTTGAAAAGATCAAACCAACTTATTTTTAAAACACAATACTACTCATTGTACATACCTGAGTCATTCCTCAAATAGGATGACATGGCAGGAATAAGACAGGATTGGCTGAGCAGTTCCAGCAGTACAGAAGGAAGAGCATTGTTGTTTTGTCCTCGACTTTCACCAGACTGTACATCTCCAGGTGAAGTGCTTCCTCCAGGATTTATGTAACTGGCAAGAACCTAAAAACGCAAGAACACGATTTACCTTAAATTATAATAAACAGCAATTAAGTTAAAAAAGAGGTTTTTATAATTTTAAACAAAATGCAAAATACTGCAGATACTGGAAATCTGAAACAAAAACAGAAGTCGCTGGGAACACTCAGCAGGTCAGGCAGCATCTATGGAGAAAAGAAAGTGAGTCAACATTTTGGGTCCATGACCCTTCATCGCAAAAAATGTCTTAATTTTATTCCTTTCCGAATTCTCTTCAATATCATTTAACATCATTCCCTTCAAAATTGGGTAGCAAGTGTCAACAAAAAGCTTTTGGCAGTTATCCTCTGAAGGGAGAGGTCATGCCTGGTCCTCTTTTACTACAATCAAAGAAGCTAAATCATTTATACAAGATGAACCTTGGGAGTGAAGTGATGGGCTCTTACAGATGCCGAAACACCAGCAAAATGCTCAGTGATGCAGCAAAATGCCAAGTGCGGAGTCCTGTAGCTCAGTGGTCAGAGCACTCGCCTTGCAAGCGAGAGACCTGGGCTCAATTCCCAGCAGGGCAAAAGTTTGGGCAAGTTTCCTTACACCACACACCTGATAATAATCCCTCAAGAAAAAAAAAATAATAATAATTTGGTCACTCAATCTACAACTGTTTTTGGGACACTGCTGTGTGCAATTGGCTGCCGCGTTTCGCCCACAAATATACAGTCAATTCACTTTACAATATATTCTGTGAAGCGCTTTGAGACGTCCAGAAGACATGAAAAGTGCTATATCAAATGCAAGGATTATTATTATTATTAACAACAACAAGATTCCATTTATAAAGCGCCTTTCACGTCAGAAGGACGTCCCAAGGCGCTGCACAGTTGGGTCATGACCCGAGCAGGGGGGAAATGGTCAGGGTGAGGGGAGGGAAGGGAGGGGGCGAGGAGGGGGGAAATGGTCAGGGTGAGGGGAGGGAAGGGGGGGAGCGAGGAGGGGGAAGAGAGTCGAGAGGGGAGCTGAAGGCTCGGTTAAAGAGAAAAGTACTACGCAGGTGAGAATTAACAAAATTGTGTAGGTGAGAAATAGCTCTGAGATGCAAAACTCACCTTACTGGAAAGTTTGTGCTGTAACTCATTATTTGGGGTTCCTTCTTAATGAGAAGCTATAAAAGAAATCAGTTTGCAACACTGGATTCTCTCCCACTTCTAGGGGTGAAGATGCTACTCTCATTCCTTGATTCAAATGCTTTCCACCAACACGCTTGCCAATTTTTTTTCAACAGAAAGCAGTTGGACGTATAGGACTATGTGTGTTCTGTACACTTACATTTTAGAGGTTGTAGAAATTTAATTGTTAAATGGTGTGATGAAAAGTTTAACTATTTAGGTGGATGTGAAGGACAGTATTTCTTGTTACCAACAATGCATATCAACAGGCTTTCATCACTTACCTGGAGAAGACAGGTCACATGCTCTTCCTCCAACCTCTGCTTGGTCAGGGCTTGCTCAACATCCCAACCTGATGCAGTTGAACCCGTTCCAAAGCCAGTGCCTTTGGCCCAATACAACTGCTGGTCTTCAGTGGTAGAATTTGTATTTGTACTGGAAACTTGGGGCTGTGAAGAAAGGCAGTAAAAAAAAAATCAACTTCCGATTATAAGCCCTTTAACATGATGCACAACCAAACTCACTGGTGTGACACACAATGCAGGAGTCCAACCAAGGCACCTGGGGGCACCCACCTTATAACTTGTTTTTGACCAGCTGTGTCTGAAACATGCAGAAATTCATTACCATGCTTAAGAGTATCCAAACCAGACAAAGGCCCACATATGCATGCCACCCCGCATGGAAATTTCCATGGGTCTGGAACGGAATGCACACACTCAACCTGGAGTAACACATCCTCAAGGCTTGGGGACACCAGAATATGTGAATATGTGTTTAATGCTTTAACACCTCACTGTCCACTCAGAATTTGTTCTTGATCGCTCTTGGCTGCCTCACCAGCATTCTCAAGGCAAACTGAGCACTCTGATAGTCTATTGGTTTAAATGAGCTTAACAGAAGTAGTGATTTCAAAAAAGCTATCCCCAGTTCATTCCAAAAGCTCACATAGATGTGCTAATGCAGCCTGTTTAAGAACAGCACTTAATTTTATATTACATAATAAGCATTTACCATTTATTTTGGGCTTATTCTCATATGTCACCCGATTAAGTGAACATTTGTCCACTTCTGAACAAAAGTCAAAAATTCTTAGAAATAATTGTTTCAATTTAGGAAAATGGCAATCTTCTCAATCAATAATTCCAAAACTCAAAATGTTTAATACACACCATAATTTACATTTATAAATGCCTCTCAATGTCTCAAAGAGGTCAGCAGAGCTAGATGACCAAAAGAGCTGTCAAAGAGGTATGCTTTATATATACACATACAACAAGTCTCACATCCACAATTTTTTTGATTTATACAATGACAATCAATTATTGAACAGTAATGGTGGTGTTCCACCATCCTCCTCAGAAGATCCTGTAAAAATTTAGGTAAAAGACCCAGTGCGGTGCAAACTTGCCAAATTAACAAAGACATTCATCCTGCACCTACCAATTTTCTTCAATGTTCAAGTCTAAAAGATAATTGGGGTGGGATTCTCCAAGAGAACTAACTGTACCTCACATAGGGGGCACTAATGGTTTGGCACTAAATAAAAGTATCACCCAGAAATCTGCTGGTAAGCCTATTAAACTATTGAATTCAAGATTATTCATTCTGTTCAACTGTAAGATTTGCAATGAAAATTCTGTACACATTCGACAAAGTTTTATTTATTCACTACAGACCCATTATTGCTTATTGCGTCAAATTGAAGTATTATAGTAATTAAAACCTAGATTTGATGTTCGTCCAGAGCAATAATGTTAGGCTGAGCTTACCTCTGTGTGGTTGAGGTTTGCATTGGGTACTCTTGGGGCATGGTGGCTTAGCGCTGACAGACAAGCCAGGATCAGGTGAATTGCGCCAATCTCCAAAGCCATCCGCCGAAGGAGAACTCCATCATCAGTAGTCAGTGGTGTGGTACGGAATAAAGTGCGTAAAACATGGAATGGAAGCGTGGGAAGAACATTTGCTGATGGAGATTGTAGGATATGACCTGGGAAAGCAAAATTGTTTTGAAACTTTATTACACAGATGAGTTAGAATGTCAAAAAAACTACAACTTCCATGTATGGAATTTATCATGTGCTTGTATGATAAAGACTGCACCGCAGCACAGAGTTTAATATATTTAAGTGAGGGTATCAACAGATTTCTGTGTTCCATAAAAACATGGAGCACTCCCAGGTGATGTACAGCCAAAGCTATATGCAGTTTCATTCCACTCTACTGCAAGAGCACCATCTACTGCACCAGTGTGACATTTTCTTTTCCCACACTAGCCATCCTTGTAGCATCTCAGCAGAATTGCCAAATTAGGACAATTTTGTGTTGCAGACAAACTGGAAACTGATTGGCAACTGCCCAATCTTTTGTGCCATCCCCTTATAGCCATCAGAGATTTTCATTCCATCAATCTACCTTGGATTCAACACTGTCTCTAGAGGCGAAAGCTAAGCCACTGTGCTACTTAGTCTACCAAAGCAACACTAAACATTTAAAAATGGGGTTAAGCTTGAATAAGATTTAGCATAAAGCGTTAGAGTGACAGAGTGGTGTTACTTCAGTATGCTGTTACAGTGGTTGCAGTGAGCTACTTTATTGTGGTAGAACAGATTTACAGTCACAATTCCTTACACAGGATGTTTAAAGCGAAACATGCAGACAGATACTTAAGCAATAGAGGTACTAAGAAGGAACATGGCAAACAGGCAGGTATTTGGATTAAAAGATCTATCAAGATCCAAGAAACTGGTAGAACAGACTTGATGGGTTGAATGTTTGCTAGATTTCCTCGAGTCCAAAATTGAGGGGATCCGTTCAGCTGCCTCTGTCCTCCCAACCGCCACTCACTCCCCATCTCCGACCCCTACCCATCCCTTCACATCTTTAAACCTGTCTCCCCCGCCCCTCCAATCGGGTTTCTGTGCTGTGAGAAGCACGGAAACTGCTCTGGTCAAGGTGACATACATCTGTGATCAGGGCTCCCTCTGTCCCCTCGATCTCTCTGCTGCCTTTGATACCATGGACTACTCCATCCTCCTCCACCGCCTCTCCTCTCACATTAACCTACAAGGTTCTGTCCTTGAATGATTTAGGTCTGATCTCTCACACCATCTCCAATTTGTTTCTGCCAACGGTTTCTCTTCCAGCCACCACACAGTCTCGTGCGGTGTTCCTCAGGGCTCTGTCCTCAGTCCCCTCCTCTTCAACCTCTACATGCTCCCATTTGGTGACATCATCCACAGATATGGGGTCAGCTTCCACATATATACAGATAACACCCAACTCTATATCGCTGTCTCTACCCTCGATTCCAGGACAACTAATGTCCTGACAGACTATCTGTCAAACAGGATGAGAGCCAACTTTCTACAGCTGAATGTCAGCAAGACTGAGACCCACCTGATTAGCTCAGGCCAGTGCCTCCGCATCTCAGGCACTGGCAGCATCAGCATTCACGGATGCACACCACCTCAGTGAGCCAGTCAGGAACCTAGACGCCTTGTTTGGTCCTCAACTGTCATTTCTCCCCCATATCCATGCCATGACCCGCTCTTCCTTCCGCCACTGCCACAACATTGCCCGACCCCACTCCTGCCTCACCCCTCAGGCCGCCGAATACCTCATACGCGCATTCGTCACCTCTAGGCTCTATTACAGAAACCCCCTCCTTGTCAGCCTCCCCAACTCTTCCCTCCACAAGGCCGCAGATCATCCAGAACTCTGCAGCTTGTGTCCTCTCCCGTGCCAGTCTCCATGACCTCATCACCCCCACCCGGCTCCCCATCCCCCAGAGAATAGAATTCAAAACCCTCGTCCTCACCTTCAAGGCCCTTCACGGCCTTGCCCCCTCCTACATCTCTGACCTGCTGATCCCTTATCAACCTGTCTGCTCCCTCCGCGCAGTAGGCTCCAGCCTACTCCCTGTCTTCTGCCCGACCCGCCCTATCAGCGGCGGTCGGGCTTTCAGCCTCTTTGCCCCCACTGTTTGGAACTCCATCCCACAGTCCCTTCGCCTTATTCCCTCTCTTGCCTCCTTCAAAGCACGACTCAAGACTCTTCTTTTCAACCGTGTCTTCAGCTGCCCTCCTACCTCTCGGCCCTCCCTCACCCCAATCCTGCCCTCCCCCCCCCACCCACCCACGCTCGGGTGATGATCCCCGAATGTTCAGCGCCTTGTGACATCCTCCTGACGGGAAAGGCACTTTACAAATATAATTTTGATGTTATTAACTTACAAGATTGCTATTTATCTTGAGATTAATCTACCTTCTCCAAAACAAGACACTGGGAAGCTGATGTGTTGGATATCAAATTAATTCACTTCAAAAATATTACTCTCTGCACCAGATATATAATTTGAGTCACAATGAAACAAGAATATATCCAATTGTAGATGCAACAAAACCCAAATCGCCAAAGCTGCAAAATTCTGAAGATCTGAATCTCATTTATACTTACTGCCTTCACCATCATCAGTCACTCCGAGCACTAATCTCAGCAAGCACTGAGCATGCTTCCTCTCCTTAAGGAGAACTTCTGCATAACCGGGTAGACGCAGGAACAGTCCAAATGCTGCCAGAGAATGTGCAGGAATGGGAGACATGGCAGGAACGGTCGATTTGATTGGAGGTGGTTCTGCGGCTATGGTTTCTGGAGCCTCATAGACCAGTTCACCAGACTGTTCAATGGTGACCCACTCAAACTGTTCATTGTCCTTCGGCTTTTCTTGCGAAGTTGATGTTACCACTGGAGCGCTTACCTAAAAACACAGAGAAACACAGTAAATTCTACTGCTCTGTCAGTACTGTATTATTGCTGTAAGCTCCCACACAACCCCAAATATGCAGATCCTAGGTCAGTGATATCTTACAAGTTGAAACCTACAATGGCACTGCTCACCCTCTAGTTAATTTCAAACTTCCAGCAGAAATGGGGAAAGCCCAAACAGCTGGCTCAGAACTAGTTGCAGTTGTGGCAGGATTTAATTTGAATCATTGCTCCTCTTATCTTTACCAAGAAATGTTTCATATTCACTTCTTATGGTTTGGTTCCTTCTGCTCCCTTCTTCACATTTCTTTTAAAGTTTGCTTAAGGCGAGTTTATTGATGGTCAGTTGGGTGAAAAAACTGCTACTTTAAATAGTGGGATATCCAAGAAAATGAATCCCATTCTGAAGAAAAAGTTAATGCATAAAATCATATTGACTAAAATGGCAAAAAGAATTAACGTGCATAACTTTCATATTTTGCTTGCAATGGACAGCAAATCATCAATATTCCTAGATCTTCCATTAAGATTAATTAATTAATACATTAATCTTCCATTAAGATCGCCAGAAGCATCTGAAAAAGTCAGGAGTTATTTTATTTCTGAAGCCATTTAAAACACTGTTGAGCTTGATGGACCAGAATATCAAAACAATGATGTTAGAAGCATATTGAGTACCAAATATAACCTGTAAGATATTTTTATAAAAACAAATTGCCACATAAAACATTCACACTCAATTATTTTTTGAAATGTTAGGAAATACCAGGACTAAAGTAGCAGTAAATTACCAATTGAAAAAAGATGTTATTTTAGACCATACTATAGCAATGCTTTCGCCAAAGGCCAAGTATTTAGCCAGCCACCTGTAAGCCGCATGCAAACAGACCATCCACAGTATATTAATGTAATCATCACTAAAGTCAGATAATAATAATCCTTGCATTTGATATAGCGCCGTATCATGTCTTCAAGACGTCTCAAAGCGCTTCACAGAATATACTGTAAAGTGAAATTGACTGAATATTTTGTGGACAAAACACGCAGCCAATTGCGCACAGCAGTGTCCCACGACCAGTCGTGAATTGAGATGAAAGATTAAAAATGAATTCAGCCACATTTAAAATAAGTCTCCTTCAAAATAACTGTGCACCACAGGCCTTAAAAATCCAAACATTCTGCATCCCCACCAGCAAAAATGCTTGAGATGTAACAGGACAAACTTCAATCAAAGGGATCAGGGGGCACAACGGTGAAGCTTCAATAGTTTACAGATACCATCTGCACCCAATAAAAACTGTACTCATTATCCACTTCAACACCAATTTTGAATAATCATATGGATCTAATAAAAACATTCATTATCAACTTTTAATACTTCTATTTTAATTGAGACACATGGTAAAAACTAGACCTGAACTTGCATTGAAGTGGAAACAGAAGCACAAATTCAGAGAGAAATCCTTGCTTTTCTTAGATACTGGGTTTAGGATTAATTGCTGGGTCGTTCCAGCATTAGTCAGGTATCGTGTGCATCTTGGAATGGCTGCACATTTACTGTACAGGGACAGAGATAAGGGATTTATACTATCCTAGGAACAAATCAAAGCCATCTCACCCTGTGAAAGCTTGCTCCTGGTTTAGTCAAGCTGAAGAAGCATGGTCAGAGATATGCAAGATCTCTCAATGGTTACTTAAACAATTTACTATACTTTCTTCTACAGATAGAAGCAGATTGACCTGAAAGTCGTCTCGGGGAGGATTTGGGACATCCTCCCGACGTGAAAGGCGCTCTATAAATGGAATCTTGTTGCTGTTGTTTCTTAAAGCCTTCATTAAATCCAGCACAAAGCTCAGTTTTTGCAATGTCAAGGCTACTTTTTTTAAAACTCACAAATCTTGTGAAAAAAAGAGGGGATGAAAAGATAATGGCTGCATTTATCATCTGATACTAGATGTGCATAAACTACTAATTACCAGTGGTTTTCAGCATAGGAATCCCCTTGTTCTTGGCTTTTAATTAATAGCTTCTTCGTTCTTGCTTAATTTTATGCTCGGAAAATTCTAAGCATGATCGTCCAGAAAAGCAATGTTTCATTCTCTCCACACTGAAAGCACATTCATCATACATACTTGGGACAATACAGTGTACAAATTGGCTGCCGTATTTGCCTACAGTTCATTACATCTTCCAGCAAATCCTGTGAAGCGCTTCGAGATGTTTCAACGTTGAGCACTGCACTTTAATAATCGATTTTGAAAAGAGTTATACATATCAGGACGGAATTTTGTTTGATCCATGTTTTGTACCGAGCTAATTAAGTTCAGCAGTCATGGTTAAGGAGGGGAGAAAAATAAGCCACTCTACTGCTATCCAGTGCACTGGTTTCCATGCCACCCACAACACAGAAACAGCTTTGGTCAAAGTGACAAATAACATTTTGTCCATCTCCGACTAGGACTCCTCTGCCTCCTCGTCCTCTCTGCTGCCTTCGATACATTGACTAGTCTAACCTCCTCCACCGCATCTCCTCTCACCTCAACCTTCATGGTTCTGACCTTGAGTGGTTCAGATATTATCTCTCACCCCGTCTCCATTTCATTTCCACCAACGGTTTCCCCTCTAGCCCCTGCACGTCTCGTGCGGTGTTCTTCAGGGCTCTGTCCTCGGTCCCCTCCTCTTCAATACCTACATCCTCCCTCTTGGTGACATCATGCGCAGACATGGGGTCAACTTCTACATGTATGCGGATGACACCCAACTCTCCACCTCGACTCCAGGACCACTGCTGTCCTGACAGAATGTCTGTCAGATATCAAGTCCTGGATGAGAGCTAACTTTCTTCAGTTGAACGTCAACAAGACTGAGGCTCTCCTGATTGGCTCCCATCAGCACCTCCGTACCTGAGGCGCTGACAGCATCACCATCCATGGATGCACACTCCACCTCACTGAGCCAGTCCGGAATCTTTGCATCTTGTTTGATCCTCAACTTGAGGGCATCCTCCCGATGTGAAAGATGCTAATACAAATGTCATTTTGTATTGTATTGTTGCTGAAGGCATTCATGGGGTAACAAATCACCCCCCCCACCCTCCCCACAAAATAGCCTGCTGATACTCACCATCAAAGTTCAACAACATTGATAGTCAGTTGGATGAGGTATATGAGGGCACCAGTGGATTCAGACCACCAAATGAATTGAAGACACTCAGGAACAGGAAGGCGATAAGTAAGAAGAGGAAAATGTTTTTTTGCCAAGAAATTGGCCAATAGAGAAGAAAATGAGAAAAATACATCCTAAAATCTCTTGTTAATAACTTTTGTCTCATCTCACTTTCTAGAATGAATACTGATCTTGGACTCTTCCAGCTAATAAAATGCACACCTACTGCAAATGTTCCCATGTTCCAAACTTCTTCAAGCAGTCTAAAAACACCATTGGAGTGTCATAAATTCATAGCTGAATGGTTGAATTGGCTTTTTTCTGGACACCAAAATCCAGTAGTAAAAAGTAATTTAAAAAGGCAAAATAATTGATTGTTCACCAATGGTGGCTCCAATGGTGAGGATATACATTGTAAATGAAATGCTCATTCGCAAATACACATCTCTTCCAATATTTGAACAGAATCGGTTCAATGCAATTTTAACAGTTTAACTGACACATTTAAGTTGAAACAAAGCCAAGAAAGCCCATTGCTGCTAAATACCTCAGGAACATTTATGTTGACTGGACAATTTGACAACACATTTCCTTCAACATCCCTAACCCAGGCTCTTGGGCTGAATGACCTTCTGTTCCCAGCTGAAAGTCATTTTTCTTTCCAGGAACATTAGTAATTTCTCTGCATAATCCAAAGTTCAAATATTTATACAGTAATGAATAATCACGTAATTGGCTTAGCAACGCCGCTCAATCACATATTGAACCAGGCAAGTTTTCATTTGTTCAATGACACCACAAAGCATATTAAAATACAATGTTACACTTGTTCTTCAGCCTCTCCTTAGGAATAGTTTCTTTGTGACTGAATACTTAGATAGATAACTAGCTTTTGAAGAATCCACTTCAAGTGGTCTCAAGTAGTTACAGGTACAGCTTTTTTTGCACCATAACCCATATTTTGTGCACAACCCTTTGTCATTTAGAAGGTTGTATTGAATTAACTTTCATTGTTGATTGAACAACATTCAACCAGCAATTTGAAAATCTTGCATAAAATACGACGCTGACCTACTCAAAGACAACCTTTTAATGAGACTTTGCTTTTACTCAGCTGTAAGTATTAAAATAATAAATAATAAAATAACCCTGCAAATTATTAAACTTGCTTTGTGAAGTAAAAACAATATTGGATTACAAATCTGTAACGTTGCTAGGCTCCGTACTCACTGTTTTGGGTTAATAATTATTTGAGACAAAAATAAAGATATTAAACTGCACCACATTGTAATAATAATCCTTGCATTTGATATAGCGCTTTTCACGTCGGGAGGACGTCCCAAAGCGCTTCACAGAACACACTGTAAAGTGAATTGACTGTATATTTGTGGGCGAACGCGGCAGCCAATTGTGCACAGCAATGTCCCACAAACAGTCGTAGATTGAAAATGATCAATTTAATTATTGTTTTTGGTTTTTGGAGGAATTATTATTAGGTGTGTGGAGTAAGGAAACTTGCCCAAGGTTTCGCCCTCTGCCTGGAATTGAACTCAGGTCTCTCGCTTGCAAAGCGAGTGCTCTAACCACTGAGCTAAAGGACTCCAGTATGCCATTGTATGCCATTTGAATACAAGAACAGGAAACTTCTTAGTGGTCATTTCAAGAAAATTGAAGCTGGAGTGTCTCACATAATATAGTAATGATGCACTTTAGTTGATTTAATGCAACTGAGTAGCTCCAAATAAATGTCCTACAAAGTTCGGACAGATTTATTTTTCAACAAATGCTAAACACAAATACAGTTGGTGGTACCCTCAACTCAGGATCAAAAGCTTGTGGGTTCAAGCACCACATCAGGACTTTGAATGTATCATCCACGCTAACACTCCAATCAAGTGCTGCAGAAGTACTGCATTGTCAGAGGTGCAATTCCTCAGATGATGCATTAAACTAACAGAAAAGGGAGTTTCTCCCTTTGTACTGGCCAACAATCTACATATAAAAATCGGTCATTTGCTTTATGGCTGTTTGTGGGACATTATATTACAATATGCCAGTTTTCACTGAGTCCTGAAACAGTTATAAACTTGCAGACGTTTGCAATGAAATTAAACACATTTATTCCTTTAAATTGATGAGATTATCTTGATCTCACATGGAGACGAGAAAAGTGCAGTAGCAGAAATGACACTTACTTGCTGAATAACATCTGGATACAACATTGGCAGCCTTTCTGCTATAAGTGCTAGACCACCCATGCCAGCAAACACTTGCAGTGGAGATTGGATAGGATTTGTTTCAAGCAAAGACTCATCCAGGGCAGTGTCGATGCACTCATCATTTGGTTGTAACATTTCATCCTCAGGACAGCTGGTTAGCCCATCTCCAAGCTCTGCAAGAAATATAGATAAAAATTAGCTTCCTAAAATAGAATACAATGTAATACTGCAATAGCAAAGAGTTGGCAATCAATTAAGATTGATTTAAGAACCAAGCAAGGGAAAAAAATACCCGAATCTTGTACTGCACGCAGGTGTACAAACATGAAGATACTTTAAAAATACATTTAGATCGTAATTGAATGCCTGAAAAGTTGCTGATCAGAAGGAACAGCAAAATGTAACGCCATTTTGAATACTGCCAAGTCTCGACCCCTGGTTATATAATGACTTTGCAACTCAGTGTTCAATTACAAAACTGCTTCTTGGATCTACTTTTCTGTCTCCTGATACAGAACCTCAGTATGAATTTGACAGCCTCCATTCATTAAGAGTTGCTAAATTTAAACCTGCAATTAAAAATCCAGAAAGCTGAATTCATGTAAAAATTCTGAAGCCTCAGATGAAACCAAAGTTATGACTTTTTTTCATTTTAATGTACGGAAAAAAAATTAGATCAATAATTCGAGCTCAAAACCAACTACATATTTTCTCCTTATAAAGCATGCAACACAGGTAATAATATTAATAATCCTTGCATTTAATATAGCACCTGATCACACTGTCAAGACGTCTCAAATTACTTCACAAGATATACTGTAAAATGGGCGGACTGTGTACTTTGTGGGCGAACCGTGGCAGCCAGTTTGCACACAACAATGTTCCACATAGGCACAGTTGAAGAAGAAGGTCTTCAGGTGTGATGGAAGGTGGAGGCAAGGCTGAGGGATTGAGGCAAAGAGCTCCAGAGTTTTGGGGCCTAGTGGCTGAAAGCACAGCTGCCAATGGTAGAGGGGAGGTGGGACGTGCTGATGGCCAGAGCTCGCTGAACAAAGGGGGCAGGTAGAGGAGTGGGGGATATACAAGTCGGAGAGGCAGAAATGTAGCAGGGCATCAAGTCATTACTCTCTAAACCTCTGGAGGGAGGGAGAATGAGCAGCAGTTTAGAAGGCACTGTAAGCTTTTGTTCTGAACATCCCAAATGTTTTGCCTCAGTTAGCAGCAGATTGTGATTAATACATCACACGGAGAAGAACGTTCCCAAAACTTCCATAAGTTTATCAGGATCCCTGTGAGTCAAAATTCTATTACTAGTTTCGCTAACACTGGTGAAACAGGTTACACATCTGGAACATTCATGATGCATTGAATGTTTTGTGTTCTGGGTATTATTTCATTAGTAAAAAAANCACAAAAATACTGCAGATCCTGGAAATCTGAAAACAAAACAGAAGTCACTGTGTACACTCAGCAGGTCAGGCAGCATCTATGGAGAAAGGAAAGTGAGTCAACGTTTCGGGTCTATGACCCTTCGTCAGAATTCGGTCTTTCCCATAAACTCTACAAACGCCACAAATTGCTTCAATTCTACAATCATACTCAACATCAACGAATCTGGTCCAAAAATTTTTTAAGCTATAACCAGCCAGCTGCACACACATTAAATGTGTTTAATTTCTAAAACTGCTGATAACAGACTTAATTTCTGTGCAGTGCATAACTTACACAAGACCCATATGATCCTCTCCTTTTCTCTATCTTCCTCAGTTTTACAAGGTTTTGTTTATTTAAACTAAATTAGATCTCCATTTTTAAACAACCCCATAGCCAAGAGCCTGGAGGGATTGTATTACAATTCAAATCTGTAGCTACAGCTATTTGAATAAACCATTTAATCCAACATCATGAGCATACTTTCAATTCAAATGTAGTTTAGACCAATAACAGTAGATAACATGCACGTTTAGCTTTCTTAATATGTACCAACTCACATATTAGATCACACACTGATATTTACATCAATGCATTTATCTCTCCGATTATAAGGGCTAATGAAATCTGTTGTGGTGAACAAAGTCAAAAGGACAGTAATTAAATGAATTCAATCCCCAGAGATGACATTGAGCCAAATGGCATGCTAGCAGTTTATTTCCACGTCAATATATGCTTACGTTAGCCACTATAAACAGAATTAATAAAAATACATGTTCTTTTTGCAAAGCTGCAGCAATATCTTAATCTTAGAAGTCTAATGGTAAGATTGGACCTGGGTGTTTTATGCGAATTGAGATTTGAAACACTAACTATTCTACTTTTGCACAAATAATGGAAGAAGGAAAATGCATTTTCTAATATAAACCTACCTTTTTCTGTACGAAGACGTTTAAAAGAATCAGTTTTTGACAAACCCGTATCACAGATCACTTTAGAACCAAGCTTTACGGTCAAGTCTATTGATCGGTAGCCTTGAGGAAGTTTGCGGTCATACAGTAGAGTTAACAGCTGGGCTAGAGTCACCTCTGCTGGCAATGGTTGACCTTGGAAACACAAGTCATCGGAATTAAGTTATATATTTTTCTAATAGGCAAATGAGGCAATTTCTTTCTAATCTGCCAGTGTATACATTTCTGATCCAGGAGATGAGACATCTGTTCGTAGACACTGAACATAAAGGAAGCTTACTCGCTTTCATCAGGATAAACAATTGGATGTGATTGAACTACTTAAATTGTAAAGTTTGGTCCCAGAGCTATAAACGGAATTTTTTTAAAAAAAAACCTTCTAGCATTTGTCTGAAGCAATTTGTCATTCACTCAAGTCAAGTGAGTAAAAGAGCATAAAAGCATTCTCTGCATGTGTAGAAATCCTCATTTTTAAAATAGTTTTAAATAAAGCATGCTGGTCAGAATAATAAATGAACATATCCAGTCACAAATTAAAAATAACTCACTAATTTTTTCCCCCACAAATTCATTCACTGTTCTGAGCACTTATGTGGTCCTAGAACTGTTAAAATGAAAAATCTCAACTTCCTCACAACGAAGCACAACTTGTACCCCATGGAGATGTTGCAGCAACAAAATGAAGCAGCCAAAACACATCCACAGCAAAGGTATGTTCTCATTTCCAATGGCCCCGAAAAATAAATCAGTATGCCAGTTGTTGGGCTACTTTCATTGCACAACATCAAACTTAAAAAAAAATTGTTACCACTATGTAGGTTGCAATTTACAGAAAATTTACTAGTTAAAGCATGCTCTTCTTAGAAACAGCATTGGTAGAGAGTGAATACTCACCCGGTAAGAGCTTGTGGTAGAGGTGAAACACAGGGATACTGATGGTTTTGTTTGCAGATTCTGCTGCTGAAGAAGCAGTTGTCAACTTATCTGCCATCACCCTCCCTCTTCTAGATGGTGGTCGTGGAGGTGTTGATGAAAGAGCCCTCTTTGATTGGGACTTTAGGCCTGTTGAAGTAAGATACATCATAATCTACCGAATAAGCCACTTTCTTGTATGAATAGTCATGCAAATAGTATACGTGAATAGATTAAACACGCTATTTTTCAAAAGCAAGCCACTGTCTACATGAAAGGAAACTACCAATTAAGCTAGTTAAAACCTGGGAAAGAGTCTCAAATTTATTGATCGAGCAAGTATGAATCCTGAGTAGATGGAAAGGCATTTCATCGATTCCATCACATTCAGACCCTTCAAATAGAAGGACTGCTAAAATTAAGATTAGCTCTATATAGACAAGATGGCATGACGATATGGCTGTGGAATGTATTTATTAAACATCAAGGTTACAACAAAAACTAGTTTTTTTGGATCAACTTAGCTAGTTCTTTCGAGGGTCAAAAACAACAAATTACATTTGTATAGCGCCTTCCACAATGCGGAGTCTGGCTCCACCACGTTTAAGCATTCTGAGATGCTACCTTGGATGGAGGGTGATACATAAGTTGTTCATGTTGGGAAGATATCCATCTTAAGGTGTTGGGGAAACTTAATCTATCCATGTGACTTTCACTATTTCACTGATAAAGTAGAAATGTGAAGGTTACAAGGTTCCCTGGATTCACATCTAATTCTAAAGGCATTAAGAGCTGCAACCTTCAAGGGAGGAAGGGTAATTGGCAAAATCATATGAAAAAAGAACTTAGTTTCCAATTTTTAAACAATAAGGGTGCAATTTGGAATACTGTTTCATCAAGCTAAGTGCAGACTTCATTCTGGAGTGCTCCTTTAAAATCAGAAGTTTTTTTTATTCTGAACAGAAAATAAGCCTGCACTGCCCAACCACAAGATTAATTTTGTTTTTGAAGATACCAGAAAAGTGTTTATGTACCTCAAATGCAAAGATCAATAGCACCAGTAACACATGTGGTGGTCAGGACATTTCCCACTTTATTCACTTGGCTTAAAAAAAATTAATTCCAAAGCACACAGAGAGAATTATTCCAGATGTAGTTCGGGCTGTCAGTGGATTTACCTATTGACAGTCTTATTCGGCAGCTGGTATGAGAAACTGATGAGACATTCCCTGATGTGTTAAAGCACTCTAAAGGTGCAACTTGTTGCATTTTAATTTTAAGATTGTCACGTCCACAACGTGGTCATGTCAATCAGCGTTTTCGATTGGATAGAACCCTGGCAATTAAAGCCAATTATCAAAAAAATGTTTGTGAAATTTTTTCCCCAACTCCCAAATGGATTGTAGCAAATTGATTGAAGGAGAAAGTTGCTTGGTAAGCAATTTAGATTAAGCATACTGAAAACAACTCATGGACAAAATAAATAGTCCTGTAGCTCAGTGGTTAGAGCACTCGCCTCAGAAGCGAAAGACCTGGGTTCGATTCCCGGTAGGGAGAAACCTTAGGCAAGTTTCCTTACTCCACATGCCTGATAATAATCCGTCAAGAAAAAAAATTTGGTCACTCAATCCACAATCGTTTGTGGGACACTCCTGTGCGCAATTGGCTGCCGCATTTCGCCCATAAATACACAGTCATTCACTTTATAGTATATTCTGTGAAGCGCTTTGAGATGTCTGGAAGACGTGACTATGATAATAAATAACAATAATCCTTGATTAGCGCCTTATCACATCTTCTGGACGTCTCAAAGCACTTCACAGAATATACTGAATATTTTGTGGATGAAACGCAGCAGCCAATTGCGCATAGCAGTGTCCAACAAACAGTCATGGATTGAAGTGACCAATTTTTTAAAAAAAAATATTTGTTGCCCCCAGAAAAGCGATCCATCAATCGACTAACAACCAGGTTCCTAGTTACTGCTAGGTAAACAGAGGCTTGTGGAGTAAGGAAACTTGCCTAACATTTTGCCCTGGTGGGAATCGAACCCAGGTCTTTTGCTTGTGAGGTGAGTTCTCTAACCACTGAGCTACAGGACTCTACAATGGGAGCCAAAGTGGGTGGGGAGGGCAAAGATGACCCAAAGTATGGTCAAAGGTCCTGAACAGATGGCAATTAAGAGGAAAATGGACAGTCGTTCGTTTTATTTTAGGGTGTTTTGCAAAATTTAAGTATCTTTAGTACCCCAATATTTCCACTACATACGAGCTGAAAACCTAAAACCTGTTGGCCCAGTGTCAGTGCCTGGACACTTACCAGCAGTCTAGGGCTAATAGAAACATATCTAACCAGCCTACAGACCATCAAAAAACTGTACTGCATTCTGGACATACAAAATAAATGGATTTTGTCCGTTTTGCTGAAGTTGGTCTAAATTCCTCAGGTTGCAATAAATCTGCTAGGGCAATGTTGTAATGTTTTGTAGATGTGAACAGAGATTGAACATGCATAGTATTTACCAGAGGCAACAACCACACTGTAGTTATCCTGGAAGCCATTGTCACTCTTCAGCTTGTCTTTCTCCTCTTGGTTCCTCTTCTCTTTTTCTTCTTTCTGCTCACTAATTAGTTTAGCAGTAATACCAGGAGTATCTAATTGATGAAAATATATATTCTTTTAAAACACACGCAATTTTTTTTCTTTGAAAAAACTACCGAAAATTTAGGTTGATATCATTCTGGGTTAAGAAAGACAAATAATCTGTCCTAGCCTCTCTGTTAAAGCCAGGTGGTAGGAGGACTTGTTCTTTGTGTTACTTTCAATTGTCATATTCCTTTAAACAAACCCATTGGGTTCAGGAACTTGCTGCATACTACTGTAAAATGGAAGACATATCTCTCCCCTTGCATTTGATATAGAACCTTATCACGTCTTCGAGATGTCTCAAAGCGCTTCACAGAATATACTGTAAAGTGAATTGACTCATATTTTGTGGACGAAAGGTCTCATCACTCTACAGCGCAGCATTTTACTAGACAATCATTCCTGGAGGAGCTTTTCTTCCAACCTCCAACAGAATTAAAATATGCAATTTTTTGGAGGGGGTAGGGAAGGAAAAGAAGCAAAAGTCTTGTTAATCTTAACAAGAGAACTCCCTTTTCAATAGCGCTCCTGTGCACAATTACAACAGTTGTTCCAGGTTTTAATAACCTTGAACATCTGTCTCTTTAGTGGTCCGTAAATGTGACAACCCACATATTACAAAGAAAATGGGAAGCAGCAAAGAATAGTTTAATCATTCAAGGTCCTGTAAGAACGGTCATTTATCACAGAAATACTGGCTACCGACAGAACTTCACACAGGACTTGCTCAAAATGTCAGCTGCACCACATAATCGCTATCATTCACAATATTAAGTGTGCACAAGCTTGTCAGTTGGAATACCTAGCATCTACGTGCTATTTAAAAAAAAATCAACTGGATATAGATTTCTTCCTAATTCTGTGACAACTTCAGCTATAGTATGGGGAGATCCGAAAGCCAAAAGCAAACTGAAAACTTACTCGGGTTTAAACTAAAAACTGCTAAACCAAAATCTTCATCGTGGCTGATTTAAAAGTACCCATTACAAATGAACATTTTCAAATGTTGCAATTGGATCATATAGAGTTCACCCAAATCTTCTACTTTTTGGATAAAAGCTTGCATTAATACAAATTACAATGACATTTCACTTTGTAGCTGATTGCCACAGAATGTCACCTTGATCTTTTGTGTTTAACGGCCGGTTGCATTTTAGAATTCGGACATGGTCCGACACAGAGCCAATGTTCTTACCTTAAGCTGCAGGCACGCAATCCATCACAAGAGAAGGTGCAGATAATCAGATGTTTGCAAATTGTGTATGAAATACAAAGTTAGCACTCCCTGAACCCTCTGCTACAAACTTTTAAATTCTATGCAGTACCTCCAGTAAAACGAGAAAAATATCTGCTTTAAAACCAAAGTACTCCATCAATAGTACATCAAATGTATAGCTAATTATGCATGGATTCTTTGCTTCCACATAGAATCACGATAAAGAGATTGATCTTTTTGTTGCATGAAGCATTTTGTAGTCTGAGCAAAAAATTTGTAATCAATTCAAATAAACCTGCTTAAAAAGATTTTGATTATGCAGTTGGCCAAACTTATATTCTTTCTATAATTGCAATTTTCCACAAGCACTACTTTAAAATTTAAAAAATTCCATACAAGAAGCTTTATATCAAGAGCTTACATTTGCTGGACTAGACTTTTTAAGTCGCAAACTAACCTGAAACACGGTCAAGAACCTCTGCTAAAGTTGTTGAAATAGGCAAAAGAAGAGTGCGATATTTATGGCCAGCTCCATACATGGGATGTTGGATCACATGGCTCGTAGCATTAATGCGACCCTTGTACAGCTGAAAGAAAAGCAGATCAATAAGCAATCAGACCAACAATTCAGTGCATTTGAGTGAAAGTAATAAAAAAGCATCAGAGCTCTAGAAGTCTACCACAGGAAATAGAGCTGCTTGTTACAGGATGGGCATTTGGGAGGAAGCTCCAGGTTGTTTTCTGCCTGGTTTTGTCCAGTTGGTAAATGAAATCAGAATTTCAAGATTCATTTTACAGCCCAATGCAGCTGATTTAAAAAAAACGTACAGGCAATTTCATTGAAACTTTTCCCTGGTGAGTGACAGGTTCTCCACAAATGCATATTTTTTTTAAATCCTGATTTGTAAAAATTCTTATACATAAGGAGGACATCTCAAAATGCTTCACAAGATTTACTGTGATGTGAAGCAACTGTCTATTTTGTAGGCAAATGCGGCAGCCAATTTATCCCAGAAATATCCCATAAACAGCCACAAAGTTAATGACCAATCTGGAGGATTGTTGGCCAGGACACTGGTAAAAACTCCCTTCTTTTTTGAAAAGGGCAATGGGACCTTTAACATCAATCTGAGCAAGCAGAAGGAATCTTGGTTTAATGTATCACCTGAAGGACAATACCTCTAACAATGCAGTCTAAAGTATTGCTCTAGCTTTACTTTTTTTTAAAAATCTTAATGAAAATTTTATACACCTCTGAAAGGTCCCCAAGTCATTTTCTCAAGACTGAAGAGGTCTAGCGTGTCTAACTGTTGCTCATAGCTCAACCTAACAACATTCTATTCATGAAATATGCATGGAATTTCATTATTCCTATGACGATTATTCAGTCCTTTGTTAGGAATATTCAAGCTGCTCAATCCCTCGGGAATTAGGGTATGAATTTACGTTCTAATTTTCTATTCAGTAACAAATGTTTCCCTGTTCCTGGTTTCCCACCTCCTCATATTGGCCTGTGGTTCCATGGATATCGGTGCTCTTGTGCCCATCGGTGCAGCCCACTGTACTGTAGAGGGCAGTACCCTCACTTCTCCTGACCGGATGGCCATTCATGCACACAACCAGCAGAGGATGCTGAAGTGCTACCAGTACCACTGGTTGGTTTTCGTCTTCTAAACTCTGGGAAGGCCAAAGCTAAGTCCACAGCAGCACTCAACCATACAGGTTAGTTACAGCCTGGACAGGTCATATGATACAAGCAAATATAGGAGTCATTGAACAGCAATCGGGATCAGGAATCCTAGTTGATTTTCCTTTTCATGGCTGAGGGTTAGGGCTAACTCTCCGACCTCCTCACTCCTGAATCCGGCACCGGCCTCCTGCTTGTCCCTCACACCCTCTGCTCCACCATTGGAGGTCGTGCTTTCAGCCACTACACCCCAAAACTGAAATACTCTTCCCTCAATCCCTCTCCCTTGACCCCCCCCCACCCCCTTTATCAAGTCCCGCCTGAAAGTCCTTCCTTTTCAACCGTGCTTACCACCACCCTGGCTCGGAGTCCGGCTCGCACTGTTAAATGCTCTGAGACGTTACCCTGCATGGAGGGTGCTATATAAGTGAAAGTTGTTGCAGCACCAATAAACTTGCCTGAGATGAACAAATTCTTCATTGATCAAAAATTAAACCTTGGAGTCTTCCCCGGTCTGTATTGTCCAGTTCTACACTGAGTAAAAGTAACAGTACTGCTTGTGTCATTCAAAATATACGATCAGCAAGTGTTTGGTTGCATCAGTTCATTGACTACAGTCAAATCTCACTATAACGACCCCTCCTGGGACTGGCAGAAAAGATAGTTATATCAGGATGTTCACTCTAGGAGCACTTGGCTGTCGCAGGCGTAAAAATCGGATCTTGTGATTGGGATCATTGGTACTAGGGGTTTGTTAAAGGCAGGGTTTGTTATAGTGAAGTTTGACTGTATAGTACTGTCGTGACCCAAAGGGCTATCCAGAGAAAAAATTCTGAACCATGTTAATTGATATTACTTACAGGGCAAGGAGAATGAAGAAACACTGTAACCTTCTCATCTTCCAGCATCAACTGCAAGAAAAGCCTCCTGATGAATCCAGAAATATTTCCAGAGGTTGGAACATTTGCACGCTGAGGTGTTGACTGGAATAATTCACAGAGAACCTGAAAGCATTTTAAAACAAATAAAAATGTTTACCTTGTTACTTGTTATTACTGAAATGATCGCTATGTCTTTCAAACATTCCAACCCAAGTTTGAGGAATTACAATTATTATTTAATACGTTACTATTTTAATATTTTTATTGCAAGCTAATTAGTTAAGTCTTTCAAAGCACCTAAAATCAACAATTATCACCTTTGTTTTTTCAGGTAAAAAAAAAACTTTCAATAGTGTACACTTTGTCTAAACTGTACCAATAGCAATTTGTAACACAAAAACTGTGTTGTTTAATACCAAGAACTCTCTCCTGGGGTCAGCAGATTGTCCCGCATGATGGTACTGGTCCACTCATACAAAGGTCTCTGGGGACGTGCCACATCAGATGATTATGAGTTCGACATCACTCATAAGTACACAAGTAAGTGTTTGTGGTGGCAAGGGTGGGAGGTGTCATGCATAGAGCTTTGGCTTATGGGGCTGTAGGTTCCTGGTTCGAATATTTAGTATGCTGGTCTCAGTCAGGACTGCGTGGAGAGCTAAACTGGCCAAGGTATTGGAGGAGAACCAAAACTCATGGAATTGCACCCTAGCAGGGTGGGGATCAGGAGCCAAAGGGGGGAATAGAAAATTATTTCTACAGTTACATAAAAATTAGAGGAAGGAAGAGCTCTTGTTCTTGCCCACTATCCAGTGATGTGGCTCTGAAGTGCTGTGTGATAATTTGGTTAGAATATGATAATTATGTTTCAATAATTTGCTAACGGTATTAGCTCAATTTAAGCTCACACATGAAGAATGATCCCAGACCCAACACCATTCCCAAGAATGGTCAGCAGCTTCAGAACTACTGGGAGAAAGTGGTGAAGGAGGTGGTGAAAGTGCAGTTCTTAAAGGAAGACAATGTAACCAACAATGACAAATTTTGAGTGCCCCAGTCATTATGGACACGATTCATTTCCTGCCTCATTCACACATATAGATCTAAAAACGTATTAAATCGATCGTGTAAATATTGAATAGTAAATTGAATAAATAAATTTAAATTATAATTTAATAATCTGTACATGGAAGTGAGATAATTATTTCAGGATTTTTCCAAATTAAGACAACCTGAAAACTAAGATTTTAGTCAAATGTTCAGAATGGAAATAGCAATGCTCACCTGAGCCATTAATTTTTGATTGTTAGGATGGCAAGAAATGCACTGCAAGAAGAACGCAACAGTTGAATTTTCAATTGCTGTTCTTTGTTGAGTTGTCAGTCCTACTCCTGCAGATGAAGCTGAAGGTAGGTATCTCGATCCAACATGCTGAGATGCATTGTGAAGGTGGCCAGGGCTGCTGCTGGAATGGCACAGCAAGTATAAGAGAGCATTCCAAAGTGGGTTAACTTCAAATCCTCCTAGCCAGTCCTTCATGATGTGGCTGTTCCCAACTTCAGTTAGAAAGCGCAGAACTGGAGCCACCAGATCTGCTGAGAGAGGAACTTTGCTGGTCACATGCTGCTGTGTGTGCTGCCTCTTGTTTCTGTCTGTGAAGCTCTCGGCAGGAGGTACTGCACAGTCCGCACTGGAAATATGACTGAAGCAGAAACTGATCAAGCTCTTCACAAGCATTGAAGGTAAAGAAGATTCCAGGAGTTGCTTAATAGCCTCTGGAGACTGGGATGCTGCTGCAAGGGTTACCAGATGAGATTCGTTAAGTGCAATTGGGGGCTGGGCATTTTTAGAATCATCTGTTAAACCAGAACTCAGGTCTTCCTTCTTGCTGTCATCGGTCATAGATAGTCTGTGCTGGCTCTGTACAGGAGGTGGTGTGATGCCCATCCAGCCCATCAGCAAGGAGAAGTAGCTGGGATGAATATGGCACATGGAACACAGTAAACTATCGACAGCCTTCTTCAGAACCATGTTGCAAGGAAGTGACATGGACCAGTTGTATAATAATCTAAAAAACAGAATTTATAGTTACCACAAAGCACAATAAAAATGATCATAATAGAAATGTGTCCTAGATGGAGAGTTGTAAACACAGCCAGCCAACATAATTGATTTACAATGCCATTTATATAGCACCTTTCACATTGGGAGGATATCCAAAGCGCTAGACAGTCTAAAGTTTGCATCTGAGCTGGGGTGGGGGTGAGGGGACTGAAAGTGAGACAGAAGAGGAAGGTCATTGAGTCAGACCTTGAAAGAGGTAGAAGTTATAGCAAAAGATCTGATGTGAAGAACTTTTATAACTAATTATATTATTAAAGGAGAAAATTTAAATAAGCTTCATACACTTAAATCTGATTGTCTCCAGCTCCCAAAACCATTCATGACCTTGCCTTTTTGTGGGAGATGCTGAGCAAAAACTTATGGCTACTTACAGCAGCAAAATACCAGGGGAAACTCCTATTCTCAGTTACAATGAGAAAAAGGACACATCCCTCCCTACCCCTCAAAGAATGGTTTCAGAGAAGAAGCTTCTAGATTGATAACTTTAACAATACATCTAGTGAACAGATTATGTTGCTATGAACCAGTAAAGTTTGAATTATATAATTTCCCAATTCTAAATCTAAATGACTTTCCCAAACACCTTCAACTCAAGCCATTACCTACTCGTGTGAACAAACATTTCTTAAGGACTGAAAATAATGTGAAATGTAGTTGAACAAAAACAATCCTGAAAGATACTTTCACTTACTCAAACAGCTCACGGTTCAGTAAACCCGTAAGGTCATATTCTACAGGTAATTCGTAACTGTGCCAAAGAACTGCAGCTACACAGTGCAAGTGAGAAGGAGATGGCATGAGAAGGCCATACTCCCGTGGTGTGCTTTCCGCATTTAAGATGCCAACATGGCCGCCTCTCTTCAGCGCAGCCACCCCTGCAGAGTCGTAAACCCACTTCAATAAAGCTTGAATTCTGAAATACAAGAGACAGTGTAATGTTAACTTAGCAGAAAAAGAATTTTAAAAACTCTCTATATGAAATGTATTAATAGATTTTAAAAAAACCTTAGTACAACAACGAAGACTTAACTGGGGCTATCCCAAGATTTTCACATATAGAAATGTGGTTCAAATCCACACAAATTGGTGATGTACACTGACAGATGTTGAGGAAGAATGCAGCATTTGCTCATCTTGCATGCCGTCAGACTACAAATATGTAGATGTCATTTCCCAGGCTGACAAATGCAGTGTTTGATTAGAACTAATCAAACAGGAGTCCTGTAGCTCAGTGGTTAGAGCACTCGCCTTGCACGCGAGACACCTGGGTTCAATTCCAGGCAGGGCTAAACCTTGGGCAAGTTTCCGTACTCCACACAGAGCCTAATAATAATCCCTCCAAAAAAAATAATAAATTGTTCATTTTCAATCCATGTCTGTTTGTGGGACACTGCTGTGCGCAATTGGCTGCCGCGTTTTGCCCACAAATATACGGTGAATTCACTTTACCAACAATTATGTTGGCTGGCTGTGAAGTGCTTTGAGACGTCAAGAAGATGTGAAAAAGCGCTATATCAAATACAAGGATTATTATTATAACTAGCAAAGTCAGAGTCAGATTGGATGAAATGGTACTTCATTAATTAATGGTATTAATTTCAGCTAAAAAAAAATGCTTTGCAAGCTATTGAAGCTCATCTACACCAAAAATTCTCATTGCAATGAAAGGGCACTGCAAGTCAGAAGAATTACTATGGAAAATACCAGAAGAGGATATGCAGTAAAATGTTTATATAGGAACAAAAAGTCTACTATGAAACTAAAATATCCATAATAATGATATAAAATTAACATTTAAACCTGGGTATTCAAATAGGGTTAGGGTTAGAATACTAACAGAACAAATTCCTAGATTTCTAATGCATTGGCAGATAAGACGATAAAGATTTACAATTATCTGAGCACAGAACTCTACAAGTATATTGAACATATCAAACCAAGCACATCCAATATTCATTCATGCTCTAAAATAACATGTTCGTGCCTGCAGCTGTGGTCTGATTGACAAAAGACTCCATCAGACCTGCAAAACTATCACATGGGCAGTGAACGTATAGGATCTAAATACAGCAGCGTGACCATTTTAAAAACATTTTATAATCAAGCAGAATAATTTCTCATTCAGAAAAGTTGTGTTTTTATAAAAAATGAAAATGAGAATTTGCATGTTTAACAAGATGAAGTACGCTTTGTGAAATTTTAATTTATGACTTAAGCCATTCCATTTTAAAATGTGACCAAGATTAATTTACTGACAAAATTATTACAGTACATCCATTGATGTTTTACCTGTCTTTAGTACCAGCATCCTGAGTTGTTCCAAGCTGATAGAGAATATCAATTGTTGAATCGGAGGAAAGGCCATTCAGTCTTCCGAAAAGCAATGGGCTGTTTAAATCTACAGACAAAACAGTTGTACATTGATAACGTACACCTTGTGCTGCTTGCCAAAGGCAAAAAAGGTCAGATGCCCACTCACTGCACTAAAAATATTTCGAGAATTTTGTTTTCATGCAGATCAAAATTAGCCAAAATCAAAGCAATAGGCTTAATATTTATTTACTATGCCCCCATCCTCTGCAACTTCTTCCCACAGTACTTCCGCCTCGCCCCCTCGCTTGCCTCCTTCGAGACTCATCTCAAGACTCTTCGACCGTGCATTTGATCACCCTGCTTCCAGCCCTGCCCTCCATCATCCCTAATCCGGACCCCCAACTCAGGTCCGAAACACTGACTGTCCAGCGCCTTGGGAAGTCCTCCCGACGTGAAAGGCCTTATGCAAATATAATTTTGTTGTTGTGGTAATACGTGAACTGGACCCCAAACTCTACCTAAATATCGAAGTTATATTCTGAAACACATATTAAAATTTGGGAAAGTCTAGAGGCCTGCTTTTCATAAGTTTCTAAATCTATCATACATTGTACTTCAATAATCAATAGTTGAATCTACAGCCACCCAAGCCACAATCAATAGGAGTCCACGAGTGTGTGCAGTCAGCAACATGTCAGAAGATACTGTGGTATAGATTGCTATACATTTGCTTAATTGCAGGAGAACTGTTATGAAGCACTCTTTCAAGTCCATAAACCAAACGTTGGACGGAGCACAAAGCAAACATTTGTGGAAAAATTTTCGTCGCCAACACCAGTTCCTGCATGCTGTGCGCCCACTTCCCAGACCCAGAAAGGGTCAACTTCTGGGCTACTTGGTTGCCGAGATCACTTCCTACACTTCGACCATGAACATGAAGGAAGTGACATCAGCTGCAACCTGATTACCCGGAAGTCAGCTATTTTTAGTCCATGGGACCCTGCAAGCTGAAATCAATCTCAAGCCTGCAGACCTAAAAAGCAAACCCACCCGATGATGTGATTCTATTCTAAAGTGCAAAGGAGCAATTAATGAAGCAACCTTTTTTAAAAAAAATGTTCTAAACCAAACAATCATACAGTATGGAATTAAACAACACTTAGAAAATAATGTGTGCCTAATCCCCATGGTTAAATACCAAAACATCTCTGAATGCACTATACTGCTATAAAGAGATTACATTCAAAATTACTAACTGCTCCTTGGATCATTATAAAATGTAAAGAACTTGGGACAGTCCTTGAACATTAATAGCACTTAATTTTAATGAGGTTACATTTTGCCACATTTGAGTTTTTGTTACATCTATGCACATGCAAATAAAAGGCCTCAAATAATGCTGGTTTTGTGGCTTTGTGTCACAATGTCAATCATTTCTTACCAGTTGGGTCAGTGCCTGAAGCAGCACAATTCCTCAGAAGGATATCGATGAGCTTCAAACCTATCCTGGTTGATTGCAGCCCTATCTTCACCAGCACAGCCTCGATATTGGGTGCATGCATACCGCAATATGGCGACATCAGAAGAGCTGCGCAAGTTTGCAGCAGGTTGGCCGTCGGAGCTGCTGCACTGGCCATCATCGCCTCAAGCTCACTCACGTGGGTTAAACAGTGATGAAGAAGCCGCATCCAACCAATGCTGAAAGTAAATACAGAGTCCACTTTCAGTTTTCTGATCAACGTCTGTGGCTGCAATAGTTTTAACATTCAGTGACCGACTCTTCAATACATACGTGCTCTAAACAGACGCAATTCAAATGTAATGTTGTTGTTGATTATACACACCAAATTACAGGCAGGCCCTTTGACCTGAATATTGGAAATCTTTTTTGTTGTTTTTTTTAAGTTTATAATTGGAATTTAAATTCTGGCATAAGTACTCCAAAAGGATTAACATACTGCTCTAAACATGCAAGCTTAAAACTATGTCATATCTATCAATTCGCCCAATATTATTGTTATTCTTTGAGCAAGAAAATATCATGGCATATAATCTCTCAATTGTCTCCAATAGAAAAAAAGTGATAAATGAAGGAAAATAGGAAACACAAGTATCCTTTGAATGAAACATTTGGCTTGAAAGCAGGCCAGAACAAGTAAACTGATCCAAATGCATTATGATGTCTCGTTTCCTCCTGACGTGAAAAGCACTATACAAATGTAATTTTTTTTGTTGTTGTCTGCTTATGGGATAAATATCTGATCTGATGGGTCCAACACCCTGGATGTCACAGCTCAGATTTTAGGGTGCACAGACACACCATATCCCAATGCTCCACTGCACTGTATCGCAGAATGCAAACGAGTTTCCAGCTTCAATTCCCCTTAGGACAAGTTCCAAATGCTAACTGCACATCTCTCCATAGGAAGATGGAACATTCATCAAGAACGAGCAGATCACATGCATAGAAGTGGCAAAAAAACTGGAATGCAAATTTATTGCCAGATAAATTTGAAACAGACAGATTGGGCGTGACGGAAATCACAATGAACACAGTTATCTTGGTTTATTAAGGGTTGTTATAATTGTGCTGAGATACTTTGTATTGCTGTTTTGTACACGTTATGAAACGTGTTCATTGGTAGCTCTGCAATAGTACCAGCTGCTATAGATTCAAATATCTATTTGAATTGATCAGTTGCCATGTAATATTCTTCTCGATATTGTGATATTGTAAATAACAATCCTAAAAATATCTTATCCAATGAAAGTTCTCATGGTCCAAAAAACACAACTGGAAATATGAGCAAGTTCCCTTTTTTCCTTTGGTCAGTCAGGTGTGCAGACATATGCAGAAACTCATCATCGTGCTCAAGAGTATCCAAACTAGAGGGAATGCCACCTACACATAGAAATTTCCCTGCGTCTTGAATGGAATACACACTTTCCCTGGTGTGACACATGCTGTTTTGGGAGCACGTTGGCAACAGTCAAGGCTTTGGGATCCCAGAGTGTGTGTTGGGGTACTGAAATCCCAAAGCTTGCCCATGGGAGCACTTTCTGGCAAGCTTCCTGCTGCTTGTCAAGTTGGGACCAGCCTACCCATCAGGGTTTTGGCTTACAAGGTTATCAGAAGCTGAGTTGGAAGAATCCTGCTCCCAGTGCCCTTCCAAAGTTTTGCAAATGAATCCGGATGCCTGATCCCTGAATAGCAGTGCCCAAGAATATTGCAGTCCAGCGTGGCTCAGGAACTGGACCACAGACACTGCCAGAGTGTTAACTCAATTCAGACACTCCGCCGTCAAGCATGTAGACTGTTTTGAAGCCTGCTCAACTACAAAAAGATCCACTCTTCATTCCTCCCTCTGGAGTTAATGCAACATCTATTTTATTTATAGTTATATAAATAGTTATATACTGTATAGTGTGGCAAGCAGAGAGAGTAACTAAACTTGTATGAACTTTATGGTTTGGACAGCAGCCAAGCTCTATAGTTTGGTCAGCTAAATTGCTTAAAACCTGAATCAAATGTACCTAATTCAATTGATTGTGAATATCAAAAGCTATTTAATTTAAAACACTTAACTGCAAATTTTAAATCCAAAGAGAGGCTTTAGAGTAAAATGCCAACCTAAACATTTTGGATGTGAGAAAAATCAGAGGCAAGAACAAAGGCACTTCAGTAAATCACAAATCATAAGATTAAAAGGCAGGAGAGGAGGTTTATACTTTCATATAATTACTAAAATGTGTTATATAGTGGTCAGCGTGTTTCCTTTGAAAATTGGGTTGCAGCTGCTATCTTACCTAGTTTTGGAAACCTGATCCTCAGATGGTAGGAAAGGATTATTCACAGTCGCAGATGAAGTGCTCCCAAATGCTGTGAGGCCAAGCAGCTTGATTTGTGATAAGCCCAATGTGCTGGCATCCCGCGGGCGGTGCAGCCGGAGGCAGACAGCAGATGCCACCTCTGCTTTCACCAGTTGTATTTTAATGTAAGTTAGTCCACTAGTAATAACTGGGGTTGAAAGGGGCAACATGTTCACTCCATCTGCACTTATCTCAACAGACACTGAAGAAGGGCATGCTGCAAGAAAGAAATGAGGATAAGTCCACAGCTTTCAGGTGTACAAGCTACATTGGCATTTACAGTCTGTTTCATTAATAATTCAACATTTGCCCAGGTAAGGAGGTCATCAATTTATGACAAGTACTTTCCAATGAGAAATCAGTGAATCAACTTGTGCTTCCTCATCCAATAGTTGTCACCACTTCCTCCCACCCTTCACTCTAGTCAACAGTTCAGACAAAAATAGACCACTATTTTGTTTGCGTGTCCTGTAGAGTGTTTCAAGAATACGTTTTATATAAAAGATGAGGTGTTGTGTAAAACCAAATGATAAAATTATTGTGCGTGAAATTAAGAAAATATTTCCAAAAATTGGCAGATTGCAAAAGAGTATCAGGCAGATTTGTTCAATTTTTGACATTCAAGAGTGAAAAATATACGAGCTCCATTAAAACACAATTGTTGATTAATCCACATAATCAGCAAATACAACTCATTCATTCCTTACTAACAAGATCCAAGTCATGTTGAGAGATAACAACCTACGCATTGTTTACAATAGTACACTGCTGAGGAAAGTCACAGGTCCAACAGCATAATTGCTGTCAACTACATGATACATCATCCAGAATTGACTGAACATCTACATCAAAATATTTGCTGCCCAAGGAAAATACATTTGAAATTTATTTTAAAAAATTGTTTGAAAGTAAATTTCTTTAATATTGTAGAAATAACCCTCAAATTAGTATATATTTATTTAAACAACGATAAATATCATCAGTGGCAATCAGGCTTGGAACTTCACACTTCATTGCAAATGAAACTCCAACCTACATTATAGAATACAATATATTTTGGTTTGGACATGTGCAAAAGCTCCGTAGCATATGGTTTCATGTTTGATGATATTACAAGGTGAGACAATTAAATTAAATATTGTTCACACATGAAATAGTTTTACGTTTAAGACTTCACCCTTAGTTAGAAAACAATGAACTTATGCAACAATAAATCCCAATCACATGAGAAATGAGAACTCCAAAAAAGCATTATGAACTACTATGTCCATCTTGACCTTCATACACAAGCCTTGTTGGAATGCAACAATGATGTACAATGATAAATGCACATACTTGCAAGAGATGCTAGGTGAGGCTGAATATGTATCTCTTTGAGCAGCACTGCAGCTGGGAGATGGATGGTCAAGTCACACCATGCTTCTTCAGGGAGGAAGATATATGACCACGCTGCAGATCTAGCTCTGCGATGGGGCGGAGTGGCCTGGAGAAGGACTTCGGCTGGTTGAGCTGTCGGGCTGCTGGAAGTTATTGTACCTGCAGTGAACATATACATAGTTTAGTTCCTACTCCACATACTCAAGACTGAAAATGTAGTGTAGTCCTACAAATGCAGTTTCAAAGACCGTCATAATGGAATTTTGAAACCAGTTTTCATTGATTGAAATTATCATTGAATTTATTAACATGACTCAAAAGACTAACAGTTACACAATTTATATATATAATCTAATATAGACAAGTCTAAGCTGATGCTCCAATGCAGTGCTGGGGATGTGCTGCATTTACTGGAGGTGCTGTCCTTCGCATGAGACATGAAACCAAAGCCCCGTCTGATTGTTCAAGTGGATGTTAAAGATCCATGGCACTATTCAAAAAGAGAAGGGAGTTTCTCCCCATGTCCTGGCCAACAATACCCCAAAGGTCGTTCAATTCTTTGCTGTTTATGGGATACTGCTGTGTGCGCCCCCACAAAATGGATTGTATATCTTATGAAGTGCTTTGGGATGTCTTCACGACGTGTAAGGCACTGTACAAAATGTAAGGAACATTATAAAACACAAGAATAGCACTATATACCCAGTGGAGCGAAGTTATGGAGTCCCTCGGCATTGTCTGGTTCGGAGGCTAACACTCTAGCCTTCATGTTTCCATCAACAGTTTTACCGGGTCCACAGTCCAGAAACTTCATAATGGTGGATACCATGCTCCTCGCTGTGTTGACAATTGCCCGTGTGCTCGTAACCATGTTGTTACAGATAAGTTGGACACCGCCTGAGAAGAGAGTAAACAGTGCATTGTGTATTGAAAATGTCCAAAAGCACCAGTGACAGGTCTACCTATTGACAAAGTCTAAAGATTAACATATCTCACCCCATCATACAGGTAACCAGCAATTTTAAAACAATCCTTAAAATAGGATAAAAATGGGAGATATTTTATACCTCACGTCTTTAATATTTCAGATAGTTTTACACACTTGAAGGTAGAACTTAGAAATAGATTAACTCTACAAATATTCCATAGCAGAAATGACAATTTTTCAAAGTACTCAACACTCAATATTCATCCAAATGTAAGCAGAAATAATAGTAATAATAATCCTTGCATTTGATATAGCGCTTTTCACTTCGGGAGGACGTCCCAAAGCGCTTCACAGAACACACTGTAAAGTGAATTGACTGTATATTTGTGGGCGAAATGCGGCAGCCAATTGCGCACAGCAATGTCCCACAAACATTGAAAATGACCAATTTAATTATTGTTTTTGGAGAGATTATTATTAGGCGTGTGGAGTAAGGAAACTTGCCCAAGGTTTCGCCCTGCCTGGAATTGAACTCAGGTCTCTCACTTGCAAAGAGCTATAGGACTCCACATATCTGCATTTCTTTGCTACCTCTTTTACTAATGGAATGAAGATTAGGTACAGTTATACTATCAATGGTGTGCGGAGAGAGAGAGCAATATGGAGCACTATGGAGTGCATTAACAACACCTTGAATTTATATAGTGCCCTTCATGCGGGTAGCATCTCTGAGTGCTTAATGAATGCACAACTTCAGAATCAAATGAGGCATTTACAAGGAAGAGACACTAGAAGTAAGGAAGGGTATGATGGGGAAAAAATGGACTAAAAAGCTACCAAGAACTAATAAAACAGAGCAGAATTGATGGGCCAAAATAGCCACTACTGTTAACTGGAGTTTATACATCACCTTAGTTTAAAATCAGTCTGGTGTAGAAAATGAATAGTATGCATAGGACTTTCTTTTTAAAAATCTTTGTAGTACGAGACCTCAGATTTAGATCAGTTACAATTATTTTGGTAGGGTTCATTGCAGAAAACAGTGATAAACATTCGCTACCCTTCCTTCATTTAAAATAAACAATCCAAAGAAACATAAGGTACTGGTACAATTTAAAAATACTCAATTAGACTTAACAGATCTTTCTGGCTTTAAAACCAGAAGTTTTTATTGCATAACAGTTGCACTTACCCATGTCATGGAATGCTTTCAGTGCTTCGGTGGAGTCCAACACTCTCAGAATAAACCACAACAAGGGCTCTGACAATTGGCATGTAGAAAGTGATCCCTAAAAAGGCAAAGGATATGAACACATTACTGGAAAGAGATAGAAATCAGATATTAGAATAGGGATTATCTTTCTTGTCACAGTGTGTGGGTAAATAAAAGTGAGTAGTGATGCAATATCATTTGAATGAAGCGAAGCAATGCTGCCACACCAGTATTTGAGGCCTGACCCTAAGACTGAATTTGGTGAGTTTTATTCTTTGAGAAATTACACCTCCTAACAGAGTGCTGGTCAAGATGTCATTTCTTTCAGGTCAAGGGAGGAGGGACAAAAGGAAAATGTGTGTGATGGGGTGGGGTTTGGAAAACAGAGAGAGCATTGGTAGTTTTAGGATGAAGGTTTTATTTATCCAAACAAATCTTGTGATCATCTGAAGTTTTAAATCATTCTCCTCTCTACCCAGTGAGATCAAGGAGCACAGCTAGATAAGTCTTAGAGTTGTGAGTCATGAAAGATAAGATCATGAAAAGAATGCAATTCAAGGCTTTTTCCTATATAAATCCAAACCAAACAGGACAAGACAACTTAAGTGTCAATTATATAATTTTCTAAGCTCAAGAGAATGATAATGCAAACATTCTCATCAACATGTTTGGGTACTATGCTGCAACAGCATAATACCCAACAATTATAAAGTGCAGTCTAAAGATCACGACCAGTTGCAGAATAGTTTTACACACACACACACACACACTCAATTACCTGTCTTCCCATATACCCACAGGCCATATATGTGAGAATAGGCTGCAGCATAACCTGCACTGAAGTGGCTTTTTTGCTTAGAGTTGTCAGAATGCTGAAGAGTCCGTCCCCAACTGAAATAGCATCTAAACCACTGTGGAAATTCTCGTGTTTAGTAAGATGTAATCCACTTGCACCTGATGAAAACGAAATATCATGAGCACTGTGACCAATAACGGCACCTCCTATAACTGATATCAACAGTCTTAGACTTCGGTGCCTTGGGACGTCCTCCCGACGTGAAAGGCGCTATACAAATGTAATTTTGTTGTTGGACGTGTGTTGTCATCAGTATAACCGGTTTGTTTCTGCAGTTCTCCATTCCTGTTTAGATTGATGCGCTTCACTGCAGCAAAGGCATCCAGAGTTTGACTTATTGGAGATTGTGCAGTCAATCATTGGGGATAAAACTAGCTCAGTTGACCGTAATCAATAACATGGATGTAAATGCAGCAACTGAACAAAACTTAGAATCTAATTTATATACAAGCACAGTGTATACATTATGTACAAGCAACCATAAATTCTGGAACAGAATGTAATCAATAGCTTATTTTAAAACAAACCATCCACAGAATTTGGATCAGTTGCCTTTAAAAAAAAATACATGCTTTTTTCACTACATTGTTTCCCCTTACAGGTGGGCTGAAGCAATCCATCCACCAGAGTTCAGGAAAGTGCAAGATCGAGGTTAGTGACTCATCTGCGACTGATGTCAACAACAACTTGCAATTATATAGCGCTTTTCATGCCGGACGGCATCCCAGAGTGCTTAAACATGCAGCAAATGGTATAATTACAAAGGACACGAGGAACAACGTTTATACACAATGCTCAGAACAGCTCTTTCTGCTTTCCTTTCCAGCAAGATGGAGCATCTTGTTCTCTTATGAGCTTAAAAGTGGACAAGACCATTCTCTACTTTTGCTCAGCAAAAGTTTGAAGTAAACAGAAGTCTCAAGTGACCAGAAGCTCAGGGAAGTGAATTCGCTAATTGTAGCTCAATTGACTGCTTAGCCACTAGAAATATTTGGTTCTATATTAAGATAGTTCCAACCACACTTTATGCTGATAAACTTTATTTAAAACCTACCGATTATCATTGCCATAGCATTGCTATTGCACTGGCCCAAAGCTGAAAGAATCTGACTCATGATTTGTTGGTTGCCCAAAACCAAATCTGCAATGCAAGTTGTTGTTCCTTGGGTTGTCGAGGTGCTCCCATTGCCATCTTTGCTGCCAGAGACTTTTTCCTCATCAGACACGCTATCTGAGGCACTGCTAGAAACTGGCATTCGAGCACTGAACTCCCGGTTACTTGAAAGGGGTAGCTGCACCAAAATGTTAACCAGCTTTAGCAAATCAAACATGAGCTGATCCCTTGTCGTCTCTCCACACACTGCCTTAGCGTCACCTGGACGTATGATGTTAGCAAACAATCCGCCAAAACAGGCACGAGCACCAACCGTGCTATCCGAGCCACTTCGGGATATGACCTTGTCAGAGCAGGTGATGTAATGGTGCACCAGGAAGGTCACAGATTCGATGACAGCAGAGATGGTGCTGACAGAAACAGACTCAAAATTCTGCTCCAGACTAAACTCCAGGAGTTTCACCTGTGCATCCAATGGCCCTTGGCCTGTCTGAAAAGGGCCCCTGGTGTAAAAACAATTAATAGTAGTTTAGAATTCAGAAATAATCAATCACATGTTGATCACATTTTCATGTGCAAAGTTCATAAAAACATTGGTGAAAGCAAAGAGCTGCACAATGCACAAGGGAAGATCTTTATGACAAACTTTTCTCCTTAAAATTGTTTATATTTACGACCTTAGTTTCAACTTTTCAATCAATTTTATTTCTGACTGACAAAAAAAAATTTTCTTTGGCGCCATACCAACCACATACTCCACAACCACACTGCTGATATTTTTATTGCACAAAATCTTCCCTACTCTAACAGATCACTTTCATGGGGTCCCTGACAGAGGCCGAACCGCTAAACTTTCAGCATTTTTTGAAGGGGGAAAATGCAGTAAACTGCAAAGCCCATATTATGCTTACCTACCTGCTGAGTTGAAAAAAATGATCAAAAAAAAGGTTCAATAGCAAAATAATACTGCTTTAAAAATCTATACCATTTGTGAGACTGACAGGGAGGCCACTTCACGACTAAATATTTTTGATTATTTTTAAGATGACAAAGTATTCCTTTAAATTCGTTATAACAAAGTGATGAGGATGGGTTTGGAAATAATCAAATATAGTTAGGATACAAATACGCAAAAGAACAAAATATTGAATATCTACTAGTACAACATTTTCTTCGTGTTGAACATGTTAAAAAAAAGCAAGGAATGGTTAAAGCATTCTACTAGATTCAGCAAAAAATATTACTTCAGATCATTCCTGAATGCTGAAGTATCTGGTGAACTAATTGCAACAATCCAATGTCTATGCCTCGGTAACTAAATAGTTGCAGTGCACTCGTTCTTGAATGGAACAAAGAGCTTAATGAGCAAATCACTGATGTTTAGTGAGACAGTGTAAAATGATTAATTAGTACAAATTCATTGCTTTGACATACATTGCAACACACACACCTCATGAGTCTGATGCTGAAAGAAATCAGCATTTAGTTAAAATGCGATAAAAATTGATCAAAACAAAAGGAGCTTGGTTGAAAATTTCCGCCGTGAGAAGATTTACAAGGCATAATAACATTTCTTCATCTCGTTCAGTGCAATCGAGCCAAAAATTTTGTCAAGAATTTCAATTAATTTCTTGTAAATTAACCTTGCTGTTGGAAGACTAGAATAGTTCTCTAAACATTCTATTACATTGTAAAAGTTACCTTTCAGTTGAAAGTATATGTATAAGCTTCAGCAGGAATTCACTGAACATCTGAGGATTGGTTGAGGAGAGGTGCACCTGAAGTCGAGTGAGGAACTCTTGCATAGCTTGAGTGGCCGTGGGTCCAACCTTAACAACAAGAACAAAATTACATTTGTATAGCGCCTTTCACGTCGGGAGGACGTCCCAAGGCGCTGGACAGACAGAGTTATAGACCCGAGCTGGGGGTCAGGGTGGAGGGCAGCGGGGAAAAGCAGGGAGATCAAAAGCATAGTCGAAGATAGTGTTGAGGTGGGTCTTGAAGGTGGCAAGGGAGGTGCAAGACGGAGGGACTGCGGGATGGAGTTCCAGAGGGTGGGAAGGCTCAACCGCCAATAGTGAGGCGAGCGAGGCGAGGGACGTGAAGCAGACCGGAGCCCACTGAGCGGAGGTAGCGAACAGGATGGTAGGGGTTAGGAGGTCGGAGAAGTACGGGGAGCAAGATCGTGGAGGGCTTTGAAGGTGAGGACCAGGATCTTGAACTGTATCCTATGTGTGATGGGAAGCAAATTACAAATTAGCAACATTCACAGAAGCAGTGAACCCCCAGCTTACAAGACTCTGGGATCAACTCTCTTAGTTACGCTCAGCAAGTACCAACACCTTGCTGAGAGCCCATGTGATCCCATAGCTTCCCGCCTCACCGTCCTTTCTCTGGTGGTTAATTGCCGTGTGGGTGAGCAACTCCATTTCTTAAAAATAAGTGGTAGAAATGCATAATGCAGTACCAGAAAATGCCAGTAAACACATTACTGAAATTTTCCTGCACTGCATATGCATTTTGGATCTCCCCCATTTGTCCAGCTAGCTGAGGTTTATCTGTACTGCAATTCAAAGTGGCTCATAAACAAGTGAAAATAGTCTTATTTAGGCACACCTTATTGAACCCCTTCACTATTTTATCTTCCATCAGGTCCCCTCTGCATTGTCTCATCTCTCTATAGGTCTTTACTTTTTTGTTGTGGTATAAATGTTTACAAAAAATTAATATCATATGGTTACAGAACAGAGGTAGAATACAAAAGCATTGGAAAATGAGAAGGCCTCTGGGAGAAAAAAATACTTTGGGAAAGTAGACAGCTCCCTCCAGTGGGTGAGCTGGTATCAGCTGAGGTTCGATAGCCTGAATGATCTCATCTGATGCTGAATTCCTGAAATTCTATCCTTCCCGGACACTCCCATCCCTCTTGTAATGGACACCATCTGCCAGAAGATGGGGCTCTACACAGCTCTTTCAACAACAACTTCATCAGTCTCAAAGACAGCTCCAAATGTCCTTTAAGGCCATAATGATTTTGAAGTGATAGCTGTCTGATGAATCGCTCTGCTGTCTGTTAATGCAGATCAATTCCAAATGCCAAGTAAAATTCAACTGAGAACTGCATACTTCTCCCACCACCCCAATCACAAATCATTTAAAAGGATCAAATGCATATCAAAACCAAACTAAAATCTGTGGCCCAGATACATCTTTTCTCTCTGGTCTGCCTGTTTTGTTACAATCCCCACCCCCCTTTGTTTTTCATTATTAACAGTTCTTTCCCCCTGTTTTGTTACAATCCCTCCTTTGTATCATTAACATCTCTTTAACCCATCATCCCCTGTCCTCTACTCCATGTTCTCTAGTCTTCCTTGCCCTGCCTCCCCCCTGTTAGCTCTTAAAAACCTCTCCCCCTCAACAGACCTGAAACATTGATTCCCTTTCCTTTCTCAGCCTGACTTGCTGAGTGTTCCCAGCGACTTCTGTTTTTGTTTCAAAGGCACTTTGAAATTTGATTATAATAATCTTTGACTAAGTCATAAGGTGCAACGATTAAATGCAAATGTCTCAAGGCCTTTCACAAGAGTTAGCTCAGGGTGTAGGGACTGTATTTGTAGGAGAATGCAGCAGCTAATTTGCACATTGCAATGTCCCACAAACAGCCATGAAGTGAATGCCCAATTTTAGCTGGGAATTGTTGGCAGGATACCAGGAAAAACTGCTTTCTCTTTTTGAATAGTGACATGGAATCTTTAAAGTCCATCTGAACAGGTGGTTGGGACCTCAGTTGAATGTCTCATCCAAAGTACATGATTGTTAATAGAAGGTTTCCCAGGTCTCACTTTACCCTGAAACAACTGTTCATCACTGACACCAGAGACAATGCTGAGCAGTTTTTTTTCTGGTATCCTGGCAACAATTCCCAGATAAAATTGGGCATTCACTTCATGGCTGTTTGTGGGACATTGCCATGTGAATACTTCAGATTCAATTCAATAAAATAATTTCTATAATTGGAACACAAAGCAGAAGATAATGGGCAACTGAAACGTAATGGTTTCTCCAAAATGTAAAAATATAAATACCAATCTCTTATACAGGAATGTTATTGCAAATATGCATCAGGGATTAAAAGTAGGTTGATGGATAAAAATAAAAGGGAAAGTTGCTTTGTTGAAAAATACTTTTAACAAAAAACATTCATAACTCGCATACACAATATGTAGCGAAATGGCCACCAAATAAGCATAATAAACATTTGTCCATATTCCAAGTATTGAGTGCAGTTTTCAAGATGGAAAATAAACTGTTGGCCTCAACTACAATTTGTATTTTAAAAAAAACTAACTGCGGAAGCATGAGACAAACAAGCAGAGGCCAGATACTCGCAAAAGGAAGCAAGCGAAATCAGGCACTGCCCCAGGCTCCTGAGCTTCAGAGCAGCACAACTTGAACTAGGACTACGCCTCCCCTTGACCCAAGGAATAAAATCCCTCAGTCTCACCAAAAAAAAAGAAATGTGTAGCACATGTTATTTTAAGAGCATGTTATACTTCAATAAAATATTCCCTGTAATTGATAGTGTAGAATTCCTTGTATTACACTTGTAGTGTTGAAATATCTCAACGGATTTACAAGAAATTGCTGTCAAAGTAATTATTGTATCCATACACAAATACTGTACACATTTCATGATAAACAGATCAGAAATATTCAAAACAAAATTAACAAGTAGATATCCAAAAATAATTACATATCCATTTCATCAAACTGCAAAAATATACACATGTGAAGCCAAGTACCTGTGGGCTGTGTTGACAAGTGCCATGAGGGCTGGTTCCTGAGAAGAACCTCACAAGTACATGAATCATATTTGGGTCAGATACCATCAGCTGGGCTGTACTTTCCTGGAGTACCATGCTATTGCTTGGAGGAGCTAAAAAATAAATAAACATTCAAACAGTACTGAACACGTAAAAGAGGTTTTAATAAGATTTAGAATAAATCGAGAGTGGCAGAATATAATATTATTGTTGCTGCAACATCCTTTGCTGTTGTGACAGAACAGAGGTTTGAAGGCACAATTCCATATACAGGATGTTAAGATATACTGAAGCAGAGTGCGGTATTGGGATTAAGATCTAGATGTCAAGATCTAAAATTTAAAATTAATTTAACAGACTCAATGTCTTCCTCCTATATTGTTTTAACTGAATGACGAGCACTACTTTTTTTTAAAAAAAAACAGCGGGATTTATTTTATTTGTAACCCCTATATTACTCACTAGTTTAATTTTAGTCTCAGGAATTTTGCTTAATAGTGTTGGCAATTTGCAACAAAAACGTTATGCAACCAAGTTAAACAAAATATTTTAAAAAAACAGAATGACCGAGTTTGTATTAATGATGAGAACATGCCAAGGAAATAGTTTAGGTGTTTCATTTGACCATTTTGTACAACTTTGTTTCTAAAGTAAGAAAACAATAATGTTTTTTAAATTGTACTTACCATTTAGTTGCATGTTTGTCATAAGAGTTAAACTATGCAAAACAAGACACCAAGTCCTTAGAGAGGTATTTGGGTACCAAGCCAAGATAGTCAAGAGGCTTGATATTGAAGCTACAAGATTAAATGAAAAACAATGTTAGAAAAGAGTTCCCTCATATGTATTTGCATTACAATAAGGAAAATAATGTTTTTTTAAAAAAAAACTTAAGTATAAAGAACTCTGACAAGGAACAAGACTCTGACTCACCTTGATTTAAGGGTATGGTTGGTACTCTGCTTGCGTTAAATAAAAATATATCTGCTCCAGTGTCCTCACTTCCAACAGAACAAGCATTCATGCTCAGTGTAAGCCACAACTGTAGCAATGATTCCAACTGGAAAATCATGTTTTATAATTGCATTAAAATAGAAACTGAAGAATCACATGCCAGAAATACAAAATGCAATAAATGTTTTCCTATACCTGAACGTGATGAACTTGAAGCATTGAGAACAGTTTGTTGAAACATGCACTCAACATAGGAATTGATGGTGGTGGGATCACCAGCTGACTTGCTGAATGTAACCCTCTTAGCAAAGCATCATCTGTTCCATGAGAGGGCTGTGACACTGCGGTGAACAAAAATAAGCTGATAAATGCACAGATTTATTTCAAAAGTAATCGTTTCTGCATGCAAATGTGTGAGGGCATCTCTCTTGCCTCCACATGGGTTCCAGACACGCCTGCACACTGAAGGAAAGAAGCGCTCTCGCATACACAATGACTCCCTCCTCTCAAACACAGCACCAGGTATACCCGCATGCATGGAGGGGAGAGGCAGAAAGGCCCAGTCAGCGTCAGGACAAGTAACCGTTTACAGGGTTTTGCAGTGTTTACTGGATAAACAAATTTTTTTGTGTCAGGCATGTTTTATCAGGGTTTTCGTTAATAACTGAAAAGCAGAAGCCCCAACAGGACGATATGAAGGACTGGTCATTTTAATAATGTGCTTTTAAGATTTGAACATTTTTGCCCTGGTTTACCTGTGGGAGATGTGTTAGTGAGAGCCTGAAGAATCGAGTCAGCTTCCAGAGTAGCCATCATCTTCAACATAAGCTCAGCCTGCTGTTCCACTCCTACCTCCAAACGGGCATCTAGAGCTGCTCCGCAAAGAAATGTAACAAGGTTATCTTTTTCAAAAAAGAAAGGTAGTTCAGATCATCAGAATTGTGTGGTATAGAGTACTTATGAAGCATACAAACCTTGAGATACAGACACAGAGACGCTTTGAGATCCATTCTTCTCACTGGTAGGGGGTGGTTTGGGCATCTGAATTCCAACGCCACCAATATAAGGATTGTAACTGTAAGTGCCATAGTCGGTACCCCAATAGTCATACCAAGTACTGCTAATAGGCTTTTGTGAATAAAAAATAAAATGTTGAACAGCAAGACTAATCTGCTTTACAAAACACTCATCTACTATTCGCAACATTTTAATGAAAAGGGCAGCGTAATTTCCCAAGATTACAGAGAGTTTAACTTTAATCAATTAAACCAATGATCTAATAGCCCACAGAATAAGAGTGAAATAAAACAAACCCTGAACTATGCTGGTTAATTTGAAATCATCCAAGTTGCCTTCATTCTGTACATTCCTTTAACCTTAAGTTGCCTTGGGTCACTAAGTATGTTAGGCCGATAAGTACAACTTAGTACAAGTTCAAATTTATTAACTTCAAGGAAGCGCCATGTATTTTTTTTTTAACAAGCAGCATTGAGGCAAAACAAGGAAATAGTGTCCCAATGGTTTCATATTGTTTAATTTGAAATTATATAAAAAATATAGAATCTGTAGAATTTACATCTCAGCAAGGTTTTAGACCCTAAATGCAAGTTGCCTTATGGTACAAGATTTTATCAAATTAGACTCAAGTCCAAAGAAGCACACATTTTGGGACAGAATTGCAAAACCATAATACAGGTTCCTAAATGTTATTCCCAAGGCAACATAGTGCAATCCATTTTGTCAAAACATATTAGAGATAAAGAAAATTAGTTCAGCGTGCAAAGATAAATTTAATCGTATGTGCACTATACCTTGAACACCTTGGCAGCAAGGGGATCTTCATCAAAGTCAACATCTAGGGGACCAATATCAACATCCATGAGGTCTTGTAGCATGTCAAAGTCTTTGTCTTTATCTTTTTCCAAAGATGATGCAGACGGAGCACCTTTGGATGATGAAAACAGCTTTAACATTGCCAAGTAAATAAATACTGTAAGGAAATGGATCACTTACTCACTGGGCAATTTTAAGGCTGTGTTTTTCTTACAAGACTGTCCAGCATTTTTATTTTAAAAATTAAAACTTTTACTGCTTTTCTCCTTATATTAGCACGTAAATTACTCACCCGCAATATCAGGGGTCAGAGGTTCATCTATAGATTCAACAAGTGGAATGACAGAAGGTTGTTGCAGAGAATCATCAGTGTCAGCTGCAGATGCTCCAGCATCTTCACCCACCGCTCCTTCTTCCATGGTGTCCGAGACAACTGGTGACAGCAGCTCACCTGTTATTTCCAGTTTCAAAAACAAGTTTGTAACATCACGCAACTTTTAAACAAAGCAATCACAGATACCTACAGTAGATAAATTCAATGACGCAACAGCACAATCAAGCTTACCTTTAATGTGGGCAATTCAATAAATATCCATTGACAACAACTTACATTTGTATAGGGCCTTTCAATCAGGAGGACGTCCCAAAGTCAGGGATCTGCACCCAAGCTAGTGGTTGGGATCAGGAGGGGTGGAGGGCTGGGAAGGTAGGGGTAGGAGATTGACCAAAGGCACAGTCGAAGAGGAGGGTCTTGAGACAGGTCTTGAGGGAGGCAAGGGAGGGGGTGAGGGGGAGGGACTGTGAGATGGAGTTCCAGAGTGGCTGAAGGCCCACCCACCAGGCCAGAGCTCGCTGAGCGGAGGGAGCAGGCAGGTTGGTAGGGGGTTAGGAGGTCGCAGAGGTAGGGAGGAGCGAGGCCATGGAGGGCTTTGTAGGTGAGGACCAGGATCTTGAACTGTATCCTCTAAGTGATGGGAAGCCAGTGGAGTCGGGCGAGGATGGGAGTGATAGGGTTACAGAACCTGGTGCGGGTGAGGACACGGGCTGCAGAGTTCTGGATAATCTGCAGCTTGTGGAGGCAGGAGTTGGAGAGGGAGTTCGGGTAGGGAGTTTACAGAAAATATTACAGCTGGGCAATCCAGACATTTACAGATGCAGTTTACTAAATGTTCCTAAGCCTCACACTAAAATCTCTATATAGTGAAAATACATGAAGCACAAATAAAGAGCACAAAGTTTTAATTTCAATTAATGTGACCATTGGTTTAAATTTAATGAAGAAATTTTACACTTTCTGAATGGGACCATTAGAAATATATTAGGTTTATTTAGTTGCTGCAACAAGTCGATATAGTCCTTTTATTCAGTACTATCTGTACCCATTGCAGCTTCACTTGTAACCAAAGGATCCAATATGGAATGTAGATTTACACACAGAGAGACACACAGACAGATATTTCATCTTAGTATGTACTCAGCTGGGAGGACTCCTGTGGGAGGACTCATTTCATATATTTTCTCCCTCAGTCTCACTCCCCCAGTCTGTCCCACATGAGAGCCTCCAGCTCCCATGACAACCAGAAAAATGTGCCATAGATTTGTTGCCCTAACCGCCCTACCATCAGTGGCCGGGCTTTCAGCCTCTCAGCCCCTAGGCTCTGGAACTCTATCCCCCAGTGCCTTCGCCGCTCCCTCCCTTTCCTCCTTCAAGGCCGGTCTCAAGACCTTTCTCTTCAACCGTGCCTTCAGCTCCCCTCTCGACTCTCTACCCCCTCCCTTCCCTCCCCCTGACCATTTCCCCACTGCTCGGGTCCCGACCCAACAGTCCAGCGCCTTGGGACGTCCTCCCGACGTGAAAAGTGCTCTATAAATGCAATCTTGTTGTTGTTGTTGCAGAATATAGATGTATCTCTCTGAATGGTATGTGCTTTCGTCTGTCGCTACGTACTTGCAGAATATGATGTACACTTCATATTTTGGGGCTTAAAGCATTTTTTTTTAACGATAAGAGATGCCCCCCCACAAAAATATGCCCATGACACTGCCAGCTGCAAGACCTTTCCGATGAGGTATAAATCATGTTTCTATGTGAATCGGTTATTGCGTGATTGTCAGCTACACTAACAGACAGACATTTAGTCTTTGTTAGTACAGAAGATGGTAAAACCTTTCCAAAATAAAATTTTAATCAATGCATGTTTTAAATGAGCAGTTTTGTCTGCCTACCTCCCAAGATGTCTTGGATCATGCAAGTCAAGGAATATTGTGCCCAGGCTCCACCCCAGGAGATGTCACCCCTGTTGAAGTCTGTTCCTACTAACAGCAACAAAAGGCGTTCAAGCTGCTGCTCATTAACTATTTCACACAGGTGAATTGTTGGTCTGGTAGCATTTGCAATTCGTGCAAGAACCTGCCAAGAAAAGCAAAAAGTCAGGTAATGTAACGTAATGTAGATTTACATTTACCTTTTAAAGATCATATCTTAATTTAACTTTCAGTTTCAATTAAGGTTTTTAAACCTCTAAACTTCCTCTCACATAATATAACTGCTCTCTAGAAATAGAATTCGTCCTTTACTGCATTGGAAAGTAATTCTAATTTATCCTCATCATTCATAGCTGTGTAATTCCAGTTTAACTTTGCATTTGCTATTCATTCATCTCAAAATGTTTTCCTGCCTTTTGCATACATTATGCAGTCAGAAGGTTGTGCTTTCAAGCCACACATCTGGATTTTAGACTCAGCCTTGGCTGACACTCCAATGCAGTGCAGGGGAACATTAGATTCTAGGAGGGACTATCTTTCGGATGAGATGTCAACCAAGGTCCTGTCTTCCTGTCCAGATGGGACACTAATCTCATGACACCATTCCAAAAGAGGAGAGTGTTCTTACTTATGTCCTGGCCAGATAAAACTGGTTATTCACTCTTCACTGTGGGACAAATTGACAGCCACATTTGCCTACAAAGAGTCGCTTCACTACATTTTACAGTAGAAAAATGTGAAGCACTTCAAGATGTTTCTATGATTTAAGGCTTTATGTCAAATTATGCTCTTTTCAGAATATTCTCTTCGGAACAGAATACATATTATGATAGCACAGGAAGTGATGCAAGCGATATTTTGTTTTGCAACTTCAATTCAATCGCTTGCTGTTAGTGTAGGAAGCACCTTATCTAAATTATGGAGAATTGATGGCCAGAACTCAGTAAAAAATTCCTTTCTCAGTTCAAAGGTGCTCCCACAAGATCTTTAATACTCACCTGAGCAGCCAGGTAGTAAGTTAACTTCTCACCTTAAAGACTACATCCAAAAATACATAATCCCACTAATACACAATGCTACGCCAGCCAAGACTGAGCAAGTCCTGATGTGGGGCTTGATTAGACAACCCACTAACCGAGCTACAGGAATATTGTAGCTGGCTGTTTATAGATCAGAAATTGAAGCGACTTAGGATCAAATCATTAATTTTATTTCACGAGAAGTTAAATGAAAAATGACAAAACTCACCTTACAGACAAACAACAGTAGATCTGCATGACAGGTGAAATCCATGGAGAGGAGAAAAAGTGCAAGTTTCTGCACCACCGCAATGCAGCGATCATGGGATAAGGTAAATGGAAGTGGTTCCACCTCAGGAGATTCTTTAGTGGCAGAAGATTCTGAATCTAAAGTAGTGCGAGGCCACTCTGCTGTTCGACGTAGACGAATGAGGTCTTTAAAGTGCTGAAGTGCGATTTAAGAAAAGTTAAAGGCGGTTAATTTCCACTCCCTGATCAATTAAATCTTTAACTGAAAATAAACTGATAATGACACAAGAACAAAACCTGAATTCTTCTTCACTATAGGAAAACTAAGGCTAAGTTTTTTTTTAAAAAAAAGTTTACTTTTTCCACAGCATTGATTAATTAATGGCTAAATTAACCTCCGTATCATCTTATATATTTACTGCTTGTTCCATGCCTTAATACAAACAGTAGTGGAAGTTTTTTAAAATCTCACATGAAGCAATTAAATATCAAATATTTAATATCTGGGCATTGATTAACAACGTTAAACCTTTCTATTACAAGGTATGCAACAAGATAGAATTACCTTTGATGTAATTTGCTTTAGTTTTGCTTGTTCAACCAACAGCTTGTATGAGGATCCTTTACTGCTTTGGATCTTCTCTTTTTCTATTTGCTCAACCAGTGTCTTCTGTCTTGCTTTTAACAAATTGAGTTGCTGCAAGAAACGTCAGAAGTCAAGATTCAGACCTACCAATAGAGCAAGCTTTTAATGATCAGACCACATCCATATCAATTCCCAGATCTCTAGAAATTTATCTCCCGATCCAACCACTGTAGGGTGTAGAATGACTCCCATCTACAGACAAGTGGTCAGTTACCACTTCGCAGTTTCAGCACAGGTGTAAGTCAGACACTGGCATGCCGAATCCATTGTAAATCAAGTGGTTAAAAATTCACGCCAAGCCCTCTTGTCGAACCACAATAAAACATGTAACCAGCAAAGGCCCTTCCCTCTCATTGTATTTCTCTCCCCTGTATCTACCCCTATAATAGTTAAATGGTCGAGTAACCCCTGTGTTGGAACTCCTTTGAGTAAACTGTATTTATTTGAATTAACAACAGATCTCATTTCCAGACGTAACATGGCAAAATGTTTCTCGAATGATTCGCTGGTGAAATTAAAATGGAAAACAGATGATACAATAAGCACTACCTGTTTATGGTGTATAAGTTGTTTTCGAATTTTCCGGGAGTATAAGCGGTCAAGGCTGTTGCTGCCCTTGGCAGATCTGCTGGAGCACTGTGATTGAAGATTGTTATTGATAAAACTCCATTGGTTGCCTGAAAAAAAAAGGCAGTTCTTTGTTAAATACTCAACAAAAGCAAAGATAACAGACTGAGCTTTATTCTACAGTTATGTCTGGTGGATGTGGAAAAAATGCCTTTAATTTCTCAATGGAAACTCATTTAATTTCTCAGCGCGAAATCTCCTTCCTTTACCACAAACGGAATCAGAAAAAGAAAAGCAGTTTGTAATCATAATAATATGGGCTAGAAGAGGCAAATAAGACTGTTAATTTATTTAATAATGATATACCCAGAAACCCAGGTCAACTTTGGGACACAAGTTCCCAACTTAGGCTCTGATCAGCCATGGCTGGGTTTAATCTCTTTCTGCCAGGTACAGAGGGCATCTATCTTGCTTTGCTACCACCGGTCCATTTCCAACTAACAAATCAACTTTGCCATGAAGGATCAAGTGTACCTGTCAGAATTCGTTCCCGGTCTTTACCATTTAGCTGCTTTTTGGCTGAGGCCACTTCATCCTCAACATTTGCAACATAGTCTAGCAGTCGAGATACAAGCATCACAACCCAACTGACCATCGGAATGTCCAGTACTCCTGGAAAAGTAGATAAGTGAATTATACAAGTTATTACAGACTGCAAGCCACCCACAACTTTTTCCTGAAAAACAAAAATGTTTGCTCATTTGTCAAATAGGGTTGCATGTAGTCAAAATAATCAGGCTTAGCATTCCTGCTTGTTCCGTTTCATTAATATCAGGTTTTCAGCCAACCTACCCCTGCTCCTTCCCAGAGACCACCCCCTCTCTCCCCACTTAAAGCACACAACATAATGCACAGAACAAAAATAAAAGGTGATTAGGTCCATCAAAAGCCCACTCATTCTACAGAACACACAATCTATCAGTTTGGAGTCAAATTCAGTTTCTTAATCTCCCGAAAGAATGTTTCCATATAAAATCCCCCAAGGCAAATCTCCAGAATATTCATCCATCCACACATCTTCACTGCTCAACCCTGGTACCTGCATCAGGCAAACAAGACATTCCTAGCAACACAGAACCATTTTATATCATGGTTTATTGGATTAACTATCTATATTCCATTCCTATCACCAATCATATTCTCATCCAGCTCCATTTTGAAGCAATTCAGTGCTTCAATCTTAACTGCTGCTGGGAGTTAGGTAATTTCAAAATTCCAACGTGGATTGGGATCCAGGCTGACATCCAATGCTGTGCTGGAGTGAGTGCTACATTCCTACACATCCCTTTTGTCAGGTGATGACATCAAAACAGGTCACATTGATTTGTTCAGGGCAATGTGAAAAAAATAACCATTTCACTAATTGAAAAGAGAAGAGAGCTTCCCAGTAGCCAAGTCTTCAGACTAAAATTGGTCATTGACATGTGGTACAATGCTGTGCACAAACTGGCTATCATGTTGGTCTACAAATCCATAATCAGCACACTTTACAGAAATTCCTTGTAAACAGTTTTGAGAAATTGAAGTTATAGATGCTTATGGAAAGTTACATAAGAGCTACACTCCAGATTATTATACCAAAAGTGTACAAATTTTGTACATGTCAACTCATATCCATACTGATCAAATGAACTGATGTGCCTCAAATTTATATCCAAATTCTGAATACAAGTACATGCTTACCTTCTGTGCGTCTGAATGTTCCTGTTGTTTGCGGCTGAAGAGGTGACAACAAATTATCCAAAAGGTTAAGCAGGCCTTCCAACACCCCACTATTACTGAGAGATCGCTGACCAAAGCACGAAAGTAACATAAAAACCCTGAAGGGAAGGGGAAAAAAACATTTAAATTCTGAAATACAAGCAAATATAAAAGTATTTCAATAACTTCTTGTTTAATGGTTCAAGAACAAAATTTATATAGTCACCTTCATGAGAGTAGACTCAAAACACTTATCTGTGGCGTGGTCCACTATTCAACAACAACTTGCATTTATAAAGGGCCCTTCGCACCATACGGCGTCTTGGAGCGCTTAGTCCACTATTCAAGCCCAAGTTCAAGCCGAAAACACATGGGCCTTTTTAAGATTGAGTTCAAAGATACGCCAGTCTTATTTAGTTGACTCAGCCAAATATTTTAAAAAGTTTTATCTTCAAATACACAGCTTTAGAAAAACTAAGCGGTTTTACTGATGGTGCATGCTAAAGCTACAAAGGCATCAAGTAAATAAGCACTGGTTAGCAGAGCTCACCAGTGTTGATGATTAGGTTTCTGGACTGCACCTACCTGTCTTGTGGAAAGATGAGATGCTGCTCCGAGTTATAAAGTTCTTGTAAGACATTAGAGAGGAACTGCCCCCACCATCTCTCACCACCACACAGCTGGACAAGCAGCAGTCCTGCATGAAGTCGGATCTTTGGAGTACCACTGATGCACAGGTGTTTGAAGAGTTCTTCACATGCCTGAGCATTAAAAGTGCTCTGAAGAACTGCTGGAACAGAATGACCTACAAAAGATTTTTTTTAAAAATATGAGCTGCTTCATAAAAATTATAACCATTTAGCCAGAATTAGTCTCAGAAAGTTTCAGTACAACAATGTGTTTTCTATCGAGAGGGGGCACCCATTTACCATGTCAGCAATATGTTTTAGTTCAACACAGAATTTGACAGGAATGTGCCTAAAAATAACTAAATTAACACTGTCACTTCTTATACTGCATTTTTGAATTTCTGTGGTGTATAATGTAAGACTGGCCAGTGTAAATGTGTTAACACTAATCATCCAGTGCTGTGCACTTTCCCCAAATTGCAAAAGTATTTTTTAAATAAAGGAATTATAAATCTCAAAGATTTTTTCTAATTGAGATACAGTCAAAAACACTGAAAAATTAATTTCTTTCCTTTTTTAAGCACTTTCAACTTCCCATTCTCAGCATCCAACAATGCTCGGTCACATACTGCACAATTATAAGCAGCATAGCTCTCCAACAACATTCATTCAACTCAACCACTCACAACTACCCCTTATTGCGCAAGTAAAACAATGCAAGTCTTCAGCCTACTTGATCCAACCTTTGCAGAATATCACTCTTTCATTTTCTCATTAAGCTTCTAATTAAAAGGAATCCAAGGTGTCAATGATCCTTTCTGGTAATGCATTTTGCAGCTGCTAATTTCCTCTGTATAAAGAAATCCTGTCTGGATTCTTCTGGGTGTACGTTATTGCAATAAGTATCTTGGATATTTCTATAAGATGACCTAAGACATCTTTTTCAAGCCTAAAGATTCCCTCATCTTTTCCAGTAATTCCTCACAACTCAATCCTCCAACTGTGGAGATCAGCTCTTCACTCTCCCGTGCAGTCTCCGGGACCTGAGAAGCCAGCCCTCCTCTTCTGTTACACAGATGAGAAGCTGGTCAAGAGATCCCAGGAAGGACATCCAAAGTACCCTGCTCAATCACTCTCTTTCCCTTTTTTTAACTCAACACCCCTGGGGTCCCAATCTAGCATGCCAGGAATAGCTACTTGTTCACCAAACATGTCATGCAATTTTTATTCATTAATAAAATAGTGTATTTTTCTTATTATAAGGGCACTACATGGACTTCACTTTTGATTCAAGACAAACAGGAGCAAAAACACAACCAGTTAGGGTCCAAGTTAGGAGCAGGCGGTGGCATGGCGATAAAAATATAAATACAAAATTACAATGGGAGGGAACAAGAGAAAAGGGGAAAAGAGAAACCAAGTTGCTTGAAGAACTTTTTTTAAAAATTACATGAAATTACATTACATGCTAGACTTTGAAAAGGAAGAAAACATGCACCAACCATTGGATGAATGCAAAAGGCTCAGCAGTGTATCCAGAAGGTATCGGATAATAGTGCGCAGTTGCTCTGTAGAAGAATTTTGAATCAGCTCCTTTGTATCATAGATTTCTGGCAGTGTCTTCCTGCTGGATCCAAGTGCCACTCTTAGGCGTTGCACAGCATGATGGGCAAGGTTTAGTTGGAGCTGCAACTGGATGCAATCCTGATATGCTGAGAATACTTTACTATCCTCCTCCACCGCTTTGTCAGGCTTCCGCAAGAAGTACTGAGCATTGTTAGCGCTGTTGAGTGGAGGAAGATCAATGTTCTGCAATAGCGTTTCCAGCCTATGGCAAGCCAGGTTATATCTGTTGAAGAAACCGTTTAGAATCAATGGTGAGACGATTTGTTATTAAGCAAGAGGTAAGAGGAGACCTCAAATTCCATCTTTGTTGCCGATAGATTAACTTCAACAATTTCAAGAAGGCAGATGTGGCTGGATCAACGGAATCTAACCCTGGTCTCATCTTCTATTGCTGGGGTATGGTTTCACTGACATTTGTTCCCCACCCAAGTGGACCATTGTTTATTTCTAAGCCTTAGCAGTGAGTGTCAGTATGGCCTCTCCCTGCTTGGTTGGCAAAGCATGATTACTCAGTAAAGAGTCCTGCTGACCAGGAGAAGGAACCCTGGTTGGATTCCTCTCTGAAACTCTGGGAAGGCCAGAGCTAATTCAGTTTACTATATAGCCCTGGTTGAGCAACAAACCCAGCTTGCCTTGGGATTCAAATCAGTGAGCTACCGCTACATACTTTTCATCTCTATCCACGAGGGCTACCACAGTTTTACAATTATTGAAGAAATTAAATTAACCTGCACTGTATGTCTTCTTGAAGAGCCACCATCATCGTCAACTGTTGCTCCATTTCTGGCTGGCTCGCAGAGTCGCTTTCACCTCTCAGTGGATCGTGTATCAATTTGATCTCACTTTCCCATGGCAAGATATAGGTGTGTCCATAATACAGCCCCAATGGTATTTTAGCCCTTGCATTTGTGCTGCCATAACGTCCTATAACTGTGATCTGAAAAGTAAATAAAAATCAGGTCAATCAAACACAAATAGTATCAACTCCTCAGTGATTTTTTTATACATTTTATTAATTTAATAAAGCTGATACCCATTAAAAGCAGTAGTTGGTGCCCTCACGTTACAAGAGGGCAGTACTAGTCACTATACATGTATCCACTAGCTGCCTAATTTCCAATCAGCCAGTTCTTCACCAAAAAAAGTCAAGTTTTGGATCATCAAGTTGCCACCTTCACTTCCTGTGGTGCAGCTTTAAGGTTTTAATAATAGTAATAATCCTTGCATTTGATATAGCGCTTTTCATGTCTTCTAGATGTCTCAAAGTGCTTCACAGAATATACTATAAAGTGAATTGACTGTACATTTGTGGCAGCTAATTGCGCACAGCAGTGTCCCACAAACAGTCGTGGCCAATTTTATCTTTTTTTTCTTGAACGTCTATTATCAGGCATGTGGAGTAAGGAAACTTGCCCAAGGTTTCATTCTGTTGGGAATTGAATAAGGTCGCTCGCTTGCGAGGCGAGCGCTCTAACCACTGAGCTACAGGACTCTGAAACATTAGAAATCTCAACTGTTAATTATTTCATATCTGTACAGACTGAAATATTAAACAAAGAGATAGAAATATTACTTAATAAATAATATTCAAACCTTCGTTCTGCACCTTGAATGCCTCCATATTGCTGCCCAGAAAATAATAGCAGCCAATGCTTCAAAGTACACGTCTGGTCTACCTTGTCAATTAGACTAAAACTACCAAATAAGTACAAATAAGTCTGTAGTTCATTCACTATTCAGTGACCTCAAAGAGAAAAACATTCAACTTAGATTGTGTTAACAGATTTATACCTTCATGAATCTACAAACTGGTGGTGGCAATAGATCGTGAAGAATTAATGAATGTGTACTAATGTCTGTAGCCACAACCAAGCGCCTTCCATCCACCTCCTCTCCCAAAGTCCAAATGTCAATTGATAAAGACGCCAAGTCTGCACAGGTTGGAATCAGCACATCGGTCAGCAGTATTGGCCTCCCAAAGTCAAGTGTCACAAATCTTCTTGCACCTAAAATTTAAAAAAAAAACACTTAATGCAATAATAATCCAAATGTACAAACCATCTAGATAAGAACACAGATTGTCTATAAGGTAAATTCTTCATACCAGAATGGAATTACAATACAATTCACTAAATGCAATGTTAGGTTGTATCAGGAGTTAATGCAAAGTCACACCAGTTAACTATCTTGGAAATAAGTAGCATAATTTTAATTGGTCCATTTGTTTTCAGTGGGGAGGGGGAGAAAAAGAAAGACAAGAAAACAAGACTCACATCCCTCTACTTTAATAAGCACCAGAATTCCTTTGACGTTTGATTTATTTTCTTCCTATCCAAAGCCTTCAGAAAAGGTGCAGAGCTTAGATATGAAATCCTGAACTTTCCCATTTATAAAGTTGCTTTAATCCATTTGCTTTTAGTATCAAGACTACATGACCTAAAAACCCCTTAAACTTTTCAACTGCTACAGTATTTTTTAGGCAATTAATATTACATTTTATATATGTGGAATATCACATTTTATTTGATTAACATGTTTGTCACAAAGTGATTTTTTAAGCAATCTTCCATCCTTTCATCCAACAATGAACACTCCAGATTTGGCCATTCATCACTCTGGGGCAACCAATTAGAGAGGGAGTTGCAGACTTTTAGACTCCAGGTTTCACTGGAAACCTCCTCGAGACAACAAAAATCTAGCAAAGAAATGGCTTCAAACAGGAGACCACAGTTATCCGTATTACCAGCTTTCAACTCTGCCAATGAGATACTTCATTTCAGTACAGAATTGTACTGTTAGGGAGAGAGGACTCTGGTAGAACCAGATTGATCTTGCAATACTTCAACTCAGGTATCAAAGGCACAAGGTAATCATGGAGACAATACTGAGAGATTGGTTTAATCTCCGGGTGGAGAAGTACATTGTAAAGACCAATAGGAAAGAAAGTAGATGTTTCCAGAAAATATTCTGTATACAATCTAAAGTTCTCCCTAAAGCATCTTGTAAAGATAACCTTTGCACACTTAACACAGTATCAGTAAAGAAAAATAATTGTTTTCTCTACCTGAGTGCATGCGTTCAATGATGATAGACTGATGCGGGGGAGGCTGGAGGAAATGGGAAGCATGTGAAATTGCAAGTGCTAAACCAGTTCCCAAAGGACTCTGCAACATGAACAGAAAAATCATAAGTTAATTTCCACAAAAATAATCAAATACAATCTTCCATGTAGAATCTGTGACACACCTTAAATACTTTAAAAGCAAATGTCAAATAATTTTGGTTGTGCAAAAGTTAAGTATGGCTCTCCATTAAACAGTACTTTAAATCAATGCTTAATATAGGAATATTTATAGTTCAGCAAATAAAACAGTATTTGTAAATTATTGAAATTCCAACCACCAATGCCATGTAGGAAATAAACACAAACAGTTATACTTAGAACTGGCTTGCCAGTGAAACCATGATGCATTAGAAAGATCATTGGTAGCCATCAATATTGTACTGAGGCCAAGAGAATGTAAGCTGGCTAAAACCAACAAATTTGCAATAAGTATGTTTCACTAGAACAGCTTACAAATAAAAGTCCACCTAAATTTCTCAAACCTTCCTATATTTTCCCTCTCCTCCCATTTTCTTCCTTCCTCCTCTCCTGTAGACACTGACTCTTTGTTGAAGCAAATGTCAATGGGTACCCTCCAGTACCTCACCTGATGAGCATACTTGATTTTCTGAGTCTACATATAGAACTGGCTAACCCTCCCTTCGATCACAACCTAATCTTTCCAGCCGGGACTCACTGGATCATGATCTGGATCGGCAACCCTCTGCAGCCCAAGTTCCACGTATAGCGCTGAGCGCTGCATCAGCTAGCTTAGCATACAAAATAATTCAAAGCTATGACCTTGACTATATGGATTTTAGCCACGAGACCTTTGAGGGGGCTCATCTTCTTACATTTAATTATGCACAACAATTAAAATAAATATTAATACTGCCACTGCAGAAAACATACCGTTTTGGCCTTGTTGGTATTTTTTGAGTGAATGGCGACAGTAACTGGATGGGGCTCAATGCCCGAGACAGGGAAGAGTTGTGCTAATTCTGCACTGATGGTGGAAACAGACTCATTGGGCGGCGTTAGTGGAGGAGTCATGAATAATGGCGTTGTTTTTGGAGTGGGGGGAATGACATCGGTGGGATGTATGAGGAAGCCAGGTGCTGTGGAGGCGCTAAAAGGCACTGAGTTGTGAATAGGTCCAGGTGCTGCTGCTGCTACCGCTGCTGCTGTAGTCTGATGCAACTTGGCTTCCAGCTTGGCTTTCTGTTGTGTTTAAAAAGAGTAGTCCATTAAACTACTTATGTCACCTCGTGTGAGTTTTGCAATAATACGCAGAACACAAACAAAAGAAAGAAAATTTAGGATTTACGACTATGTGAATTGGAGTAACACGTACTCCTCTATTTCTACTCTAGAACTAGCTCACTCTGCTCATCATACTAAAACAATCAATGATTTAAAAACTACTTGATCCCCAAAATATTACTAGTGTTTATCAATTGTTAACTGCCAGAACAAAAATGTTTAAAAAAAATTAGGTGAAATTTTCTGCAAAACCTCTAATCAATCAAGGTTTCCATAAATTGACAAGCCATATAAAATCATTAGGAGCTCACCTGCTGTTGAAGCTTTAACAACTGCTGCTGTTTCTCCTGTAGAACCTGTAGCTGTTGCTCTGCTGAGGCCATAGCATGGGAGAGGGACTGTAAAGCTACTTGAGCTGCTGAACTTAGTGCTGTGGAGGCTTCACCCACTGTACCAGTTGTAAGACCGCCAACTGCTGTTGTAAGGCCAAAGCCACTCACTGGAGAGATGAAACCAGAATATTTAGGTTAGAAACGTATATAAACAGTTATACTTCAGGCTCAAATACAAAACAAGATTGAAGGATAATTTCACACACCTAATCTCTGAACCTCCTGTATTAAGAATTGAAATAAATCATCCTCTCAAACTGCTGGAGATCCTGTGGACTAGCGTGACTATCAATCAACATCTACAAAGTATCATGGAGTCCTGTAGCTCAATGGTTAGAGCATTTGCCTCGCAAGCGAGAGGACCTGGGTTTGATTCCTGGGCCGGGCAAAACGTTGGGCAAGTTTCCTTACTCCACATGCCTCCGTCCCTCGAGTAGTAAGTAGGCACCCGGTTGTTAGACGATTGGCGGATCACTTTCTGGGGTAATAATCCCTTCCAATAAATAAATAATAATTTGGTCACTCAATCAATGACCGTTTGTGGAATACTGCTGTGTGCAATTAGCTGCCACGTTTAACCCACAAAATATACAGTCAATTCACTTTACAGTATATTCTGTGAAGCCCTTTGAGACGTCTCGAAGACCTGATAAGGCGTTATATCAAATGCAAGGATTATTATTACTAGTCAATCCAAAATTGAGATTTTAAGGAAAAGCATTAGCTTTGCACACAAATACATCTGGATTAGTTGTAATTAAGGGCAAACAATCTGATTTGGAGCATGCTAAACAATGTATAGCCATACCGAGTGCAGATTATGTTTTTTTTCTGAACAGATTATTAACAAAGTTATGCTGTTTTACAAGCACAGAATGTGCACAACTTAATACGTTTTTGCATGTGTACTAGCATCCACACAAACACAAGGCGCACTATTGTGTCCCATCACCCCCTATATGAACCCCTCCAATCAGATTTCCGTGCCACCCACAGTACAGAAACAGCCCTGATCAAAGTGACAAATGACATTCTGTCCATCTCTGACCAGGGCTCCCTCTGTCCTTGTCCTCCTTGATTTCTCTGCTGCCTTTGACACTATTGGCAACTCTATTCTCCTCCACCGCCTATCCTCTCATCTCAATCTTCATGGTTCTATCCTTTAGCGGTTCAAATTCTACCTCTTACACAGGCACCACTTCGTCACCACAAACGGCTTCTCCTCCAGCCCCCGCACAGTCTCGTGCGGTGTTCCTCAGGGCTCTGTCCTTGGTCCTCTCCAATTTGCACATGTTCCCTCTTGGTGACATCATCCGCAGATATGAGGTCAACTTCCACATGTATGCGGATGACACCCAACTCTATCTCTTTGCCTCCACCCTTGACTCCAGGACCACTGCTGTGCTGACAGAATGTCTGTCAGACATCAAGTCCTGGATAAGAGCTAACGTTCCACAATCACCTTCCAAGGGGCACACTCCACCTCACTGAGCCAGTCTGGAACCTTGGCATCTTGTTTGACCCTCAACTATCCTTTCTACCCCACATCCATGCCATGGACCGCTCTGCCTTCCCGCAACATCGCCCAGCTCCACCACTGCCTCACCACTCAAGTCACTGAAACCCTTACACACGCAAGTCTTGACTACAGAAACTCCCTCGTCGGCCTCCCCAACTGTTAACACCATATCAACCTGTCCGCTGAAACTCTGGTCTATGCCTTTGTCACCTCTCGCCTGGACTACTCTAACGCCCTCCTAACATCCATAAAATCCAAATCATTCAAAACTCTGCCACCCGCATTCTCACCCGCACGAAACTCCGCTTCCCGATCACCCCAGTCCTTGCCAGACTGCACTGGCTGCCTATCCCAGAGAGGATCGATTTCAAGATCCTCACCCTTGTATTCAAGTCCCTGCACTCCTCTGCACCCCCTACCTCTCTGACCTCCTCTCTCCTCAAAACAGTACCCGTTGCCTTCGTTCCTCCGGGTCTGGCCTCCTCCTCGTCCCCCGAGTCCTCCTCTCCACCCACGGCGGCCGTGTCTTCAGTCACTATGCCCCAAGGCTCTGGAACTGCCTTCCTCATTCCCTTTGTCTCGCTCCCTCCTTTCCCATTTTCAGGTCTCTGCTGAAGACCTTTCTTTTCGACCACACCTTTGGTCACCTTCCCCCGCTCCCCACCTCCCCCTGGCTCGGTCCTGGGATCCATTACTGTAAAGTGCTCTGAGACGCCGTCCGGTATGGAGGGCGCTATATAAATCCAAGTTGTTGTTGTCCGCTCCCTCTGCTCAGCTGGCTGTGGCCTGCTCCATGTCCCCACTCCCCCACCCGGCCCATCATCAGCGGTCAGGCCATGAGCTTTTCTACCCCATCCTTTGGAACTCCATCCCACATTCCCTTTACCTTGTTTCCTCCTTTGCCTGATTCAAGGCATGTCTCAAGACCTTCCTCTTCGACCGTGCCTTCGGCTACACTCCTACACTTTCTGCCCTCCACCCCTCCCTGATACCAACTCTCCCCCACCACCCCCCGCTTGGGTCCAAATCCCTGATTGTCCGGCCCCTTGGGACGTCCTCCTAACGTGAAAGGCACTATACAATTTACATTGATACATGTTCTTTCACATCTGGAAGACATCTCAAAGTGAACAATACATCTAGTAAGGCTTCAAGTATCAGAAAAAGCCAATGTGCACAAGACCAGTGCAATCTCACAAGCACAACTGATAATAATAATCCTTGCATTTGATATAGCGCTTTTCACGTCGGGAGGATGTCCCAAAGCGCTTCACAGAACACACTGTAAAGTGAATTGACTGTATATTTGTGGGCGAACGCGGCAGCCAATTGCGCACAGCAATGTCCCACAAATAGTCGTAGATTGAAAATGACCAATTGTTTTTATTATTGTTTTTGGAGGGATTATTATTAGGCGTGTGGAGTAAGGAAACTTGCCCAAAGTTTCGCTCTGATGGGATGTTATTGATTAAATAGCTAAGGACAGAAGTGCATATGATTGAATCCAAATGCCATTACTCCAATCTCACCGAGACTCTTGGCAATGTTTGTTATGTGAAGTTTACAGTTTGAAACAGCAAACTATTATTCTACTAGTGATGCATATCTCCATTGTTCAGTAGTTGTCAACTTACTTGCATCATCCCTTTCCACTCTGGTACCATCACTTGTTGAAATGCAACTGAAATGTAGAGGTTCTACTTCCAGCAGTCCTGTCAGAGCTGTGAAACTGCCCTCTGCTGCAGCACAACTGCTCATTTTCCCATTTCCTAGAGATATGTAGGCAAACAGTTAGGACAAACATAAACCAGCAATCAGATGGGATAGGGAGGGAAACTTTTAAAAAAATATATAACAGCAGGAAGATGTGCAGAAATACACAAAAATCACAACATTAGAGATTGTTCAGAATTGATGGACAGAATCACTGTTGAGCTGAAGGACAGAGTTATTATTGAGATGAGGAGCAAAGTTACATCTTGCATATTTCTTACCTGACAAAACATCAGAAAGGTCGATTTCATCAGACTGCACACCCATGTTGCTATTGTAGGCATTCTTGCAGGAAGAACCACCCATTTCCAGATCGAACAGGACTGGATCAAAGGGCGAGCTATACAAGCCATACCTGAAATACCAAGATGATTTGAGTACCATGGATAACTAGAGCAATATTAAACAAAGTTTACTTCGACAAAAAGTCACTACATTGTATAAGCGATTAAGATAGAATAAGCAATTAAGATAGCTCGATCAACGAATACTTAAAATACAATTTCTTAGATTTATATACTATTCTTCACATAGGGAAAAGTCTCAGCGTGCTTTAAAAAGACCAGGTTGGATGCCAAACAGAGGAGGGGGTTAAAAAAAGGGAGAGATGGCATAGAGAAGGTTGAAGAAGTAGGTTTAAGGCAGGAATTAAAGACATACGTTAAAGATCCCATGGCTCAATTTGAAAAGAGAAGGGAGTTTCTCCACTGTCCCAGCCAACAAATCCCCAAATAAAATTGGTTATTGATTCACAATTGTTTGTGGGGCATTGCTATATGCAAATGAAATGCTGAGTTTGCCGACAAATATCATCATTACACTTTACAGAAAATCCTATAAAGAAGCCTTTTGAGTCTTCCTCCCAAAGTGAAAGGTGCTTTACCAAATGCAAGAATTATTATTCAATCCTTCAAACCTGTTAAACTAGTTTATTATATGTCAGATCTTTTAATCCCAATAGCCTGCCTTTTCGCCACACCCCTTTATATCACAGTCTACTTGTTGTAAAGTCTGTTTTAGCATTAGTGAATTTAGTGATAATAAACAGACTCTGAAAATATTCTAAGAAACTTAAAGGTTTAGTGTAAAATCTAATTTCAATGTACTATTTAAATTGCTATTGTAATGTTATACCTTGTCTGAAGTAAAGCTTCGAGAGGTGTGAGACGATCCTGCAGTTGTTTGGAGACAGCGGTGAGGAGAGAGGCACAAACTGTACTGCATCCAGCCAGATCTTCATCCTTTACGTAGTTCAGCAATACAAAGTACCAGAATACAGAACCTGTCGATCCACAAACAAACAGTTATATTAAATGCATTGCTATAATATCACAAGTATCAGTTGCTAGTAAAACCACTGTCCTAGAACCAAATTTAACTCAATATTTTAACTATATACATTCTTTAAAAATTACTGCAGATTCAACACAGGGATTTTATGCTGTTCCGGAGAACCAGATTATCATCTGAGCCCTATTTGATTATTTTCCTATAACCTTTTTTCATCAGAAATTTCCCCCAAAAGATTAACTGTGGTTTGTATTTTGGGGGAAATAGCTTGCATTTTAGGAACTTCTTCACTGAGGAATAAAACTATAATGGGATAGTATGAATTGTGCAAAATTCAATATGCTTCCTTTAAGACTTATATGGCTCCAAATGCAGCAACTACGTTTTGATACTAGCTTTTTCCTTTTCTGAACCAATAAATTAAATGGATACATCTCACAAAGAGGACAGGAGCAGATGTAGTCAAGATCTTAGAACACTATATGTTTAGAAAGAGTGAACACTTAGATGAATCAAGATAAACCTAATGAGGCAGGTAGGCAAATTACTTATTACATAAAATAACAGGTATAAATTTAAATATGATCCTATTCAGAGCAAACACAAGGAGGTTTTAAAACTGCTGCCTCTAAATACTACACGTTGCCCAAAGAAATGGATTTCAACCTACCACCAGTCGCAGCTGCAGGCAAGTAAGGCAAATTGTCCATCAGAGCTTTCAACAGGGCTCCTCCAAATCCTAGTTGACTTGGTTCTGCTTTGCCATTACTGAAAGGAATGGAGGGAAGATTATTTATGTGTACAGCATGAAAATAAAGTTGATTTCATTGTTACGTCAATCCTACATAAGATACCAAAACCTCCAAAAATGAGCACTTTGTATAAATATACAGTACTATAATGAACCATTTATTTTGTGGGATTCATTTACAAATTACATAACATGGAAAGCGAAAAATAATTTTAATTTGAAGATATTTCTCACCTTATACAAAGTGCAAGGAACCGGGCACATTTGTGTGCTATACTCCTACCAGCTTCAAGGAAGCAAACTCGTACAATATCAGTGAGTCTTTTCTTCGTTTTTGAGTGCAGACTTTCCTTGCCATCTCTGAAACTAGATTTGAAAAATTCATACAACAGTGGCCCATTACATGCATGAATCATGTTCTGCTATAATTGACATGATTAGCTTTCTATCTCCAAAACAGGAATCAAAATTCAAATATTTAACAAGCAAGTAGTTTGCTGCCCTAAATCAGGTGGACAGCATTATTCCTGAAATATTTAATATTTTAGAATTCTGAAAAAAGATTGCTTGTTCAATTTCCATTGTTCATCTATCACAAATTAACTTCAAAATAAAGTGACCATTTATACAATATCAGTAAGTTTCAGTTTATACATTAATGAATTTAATTTCTTTCACCATACCTGCCAGATCCATTTGCGTGCACTCCTGCCAGCCAGCAGAGAGTATCCAACACAAGGCTTTGAGCATGTTCTGTGACAGGACCATCATCCGACTTCTTGCACAGTGTATTTAGCAGCTTTTCATGGAACTCAGAGAACTGCAACATGGCACATCTTTGCACTCTAAATAAAAAGAGTCAAACAATTACTTTATGAAGAAAGAGAATATATTCTGCAGAACCAGCTAAAATTCTTTGAAAAAAATTGAAACTTAAGAATCACAACTGCTAAGCATAGAAAATAATTTCTAATTTACCTTTCTTTCGGGATGCAGGTTTTCTTGAATCTCCGAATCGTGACAGAAACTTCTTGTAATAAATCACAACCTCTGAGATTGTCAGGTTTCTTGGTTGAGCTTCCAGGCTCAGCTGCCTTTGAGGTGGATGTCTTCTCCTATGTAAAAAGCATTATGTTTTTTACGTGCACAAATGTAAGTTAATTCTCCTTTTATTCTGATTCAAATCAAAAGCCCAAGTTTGTCTGTATTTTCCCATTCTCTTGTGTAGAGCACAACTGTACCTTTCCTGCTGCAACCTTTGCGAGTAATGAAGCAAGGGAGTGACTCTTGTTGTTCTGTGGCTTGGAAGCTTGCATTCTCAAAACTGGCCTTATTCCAGTGCCATTTGAATTCTCCTCATTTGACTTGTCATTGGCTGACCTGATGTGGACCAAAAATGATCGATACTTTCCACCCGCCATGCCTGCTGAGAGAATTCAATCAGAGTATTGTTTAGACAGGCTCCCTTTCTGTAAAGTTATTGCTCATTTCTATTACTTATCACAAAACTCCATGTTAGTTACATTCCAGTCTCATTATTTAACTGCTGTACTGTAAGAAACAAGGGAAAATGCATGCCCAAGCTTTAAAGTGACATCTAAAACATGCCCTCGTTGTGCCACCATGTGGCTGCAGCAAGAGCACACACGATACAAACAGCATACTCTCAAAGAACTCCCTGGTACAGAAAACAATACATTGCCTCTTATTAAATTGAAATTTCGTGACTTGGCACGATGCATGGGATTTCCTGGAGAAAATGCTATTTAAATTACAAGCACTTTTACCAGTGGTCACATAGTGAAACCACAAGTGCCCTTTATCACGCTTCAATAGCAATCATGCTCATTTCTGGACAATAAATTATCAAAATATTGTTCCTAGATTCAAAACTTCTGCACGTCCTGTTTAATTACTTAACGCAAAATAAAAGTATTCAGAGACTTACTAACATACATGCAAAACGTTACCAGGAATCACATTAAATTATCAAACATTACAGGTCTGCTTTCTTAGTTCAGTTTTATCAGGGCTCAGGACTTGCCTTCAACTCTTGGTTTGTAAGAAGTCGACAATCTTAGAAATAATTATTTAATTGTTTTGCTGGTTGTAAGTCAATATTAAAATTTAAATATGGAAACGCAAATGTTTAATTTCACTGAACTTTTCTGCTCAAAACGAAGCATAAATGGGAAATGAATCCTTCCACTTTAGATATTCAAAATCAAGTACAGTACCTTCCATATAAAGAGCAGCGCTCCCACAACTTTTTCACAACAATATGTTTTCGCCACAATGTCACTAGAACATACCCTACTGCACCAGTGTAACATTTTCTATACCAGATTACAACAACAAACAAACAACAAAATTACATTTGTATAGCGCCTTTCACTTCGGGAGGAGTCCCAAGCCACTAGACTAGTGAACTGGATGATCTGCAGCCTGTGGAGGGAGGAGTTGGGGAGGACGACAAGTAGTGAGGTTGCAGAGTCGAGCCTCAATGTAATGAAGTTGTGTATGAGCGTTTCTGCAGCCTGCGGTGTGAGTCAGTGTCGGAGCCAGGCTTAATTTGTAAAAACTGAATAAGACCAAATTTTATACCAAATTTCTAGCTTTCGATATAAATTCCTATCCACTAGGAATTAGACTGAGTGTCCAAATTCATTTCACTCATCATTTGTACAGGCAATAACTTCTCTGTATTTCCTATACAAATAATGAGTGAAATTAATTTGGACAAATAATGAGTGAAATGAATGAATACAAAAGCAAACATAACTTTCACCAGCCATTACTTGGTTCAACTTGATCTTACCTTTAATTAGTTTAGGACTAGTTAGCGTCAGCATCCCAGCATGCCCTGAAAGATCAAGACCACTAGCCAGCCACACAGGGCCACACAGAACATCTTCTTTGTGCTCCTCCAGAAACTGGCACAGCCTGGGACCTTGGTATTAAAGGAAAAGATGTAGTCACATCTCTATTCATCATAATAGATTCACGTTGAATCACAAACAAAAATTTAAATTAACCACAACATGGACAGTTTACACACAACTGTATTTCATATTTGAAATTTAAACTCCAAATATTAATGGAAGCTCTAATCCAATTTGCAAAAGTTAATAATGCACACTTCAGATTATACGATTTCAAATGCAGCCCAGTATCAAGCTTTTTTTTTGATATAATAAAGATTTTAACCAACCTTGAGAGTCATCTATATCCATGGTGTATTGAATTTCTTCACTTAAATCAACAAGACCAGGTCTTCCATTCCTCTCTACCTCCACATTCAAAGCTGGAGATAAAGGAAATGATATCTGCTTGTCTACAGCGGACTCTGCAATAAATAAGGCATTACCAGTACTTTACTATAAATCCTTGACTGTGCCAAGATAATCATTCCAACGCATCAGTCAAACTAAACCTAAAGAAACTGATAATGGAAATAGTGGACCAAACATTATAAGCAATTTAAGTTGCTATTAAAAAACTAAAGCCAAACATCCACATGTAGTTCGTTTAGAGTATGAAAGACTCTGAAAAACATTTCTGAAAAATACAGCAACCAACAAGTTATAAACAGGTATTTAACTGGTGAAGAGGAATACAATACAAAAAATACATTTGTATAGCGCCTTTCACATCAAGAGGATGTCCCTAGGCACTGGACAGTCAGGGATTTGGACCCAAGCTCGGGTAGGGTAGAGGGCAGGGAGAGTGGCCAAAGGTTCGGTCAAAGAGGAGGGTTTTGAGATGCGCCTTGAAGGGGGCAAGTGAGGGAGCGAGGGTAAGGAAATGTGGGATGGAGTTCCATAGACTGGGGGCAGAAAGGCTGAAGGCCAGACCACCGATGAATGTAAATAACTAATATAAGGCAAACTTACCAGTTACTTTGCCCAAGCCAGGTGCCTTATTTTTCAGTAAAGTGACTTGAATCTGGGGAATGTTTGTGATATTCGAATTCAAAACAAACTTGAAGTCCACATGTCCAACCATACAGGCTTTGGGCAAAACCAGCTCAAATACATGCTCCTCCCAGCTGGTGCTTTTAAAAAGATAAGATAATATATTACTAAGAGACAAGCAAAAGTACGATGCACAAATACAGAAGCACTATTCACAAGCCTAATAATAATCCCTCAAGGAAAAAAAATAAATTGGTCACTTCAATCCATGACTGTTTGTGGGACACTGCTGTGCGCAAACTGACTGCCGCATTTCGCCCACAAATATAGTCAATTCACCTTGCATTATATTCTGTGAAGCGCTTTGTGACGTCTAGAAGACTTGAAAAGCGCTATATAAAATACAAGGATTATTATTATTATTACTTTTTCCTAATAATCATATGGCAACATATGGAACAATGGCATCAATGAAATTATTGAGTCCCCAACAACTTTGAAAAACAGAAAAGGCCCACGAGTTTCAATTGAAAATAAATTTTAAACTAGTCACCAACAACTTGCATTTATATAGTGCCCTTTGGTCAGGGAGTACCTCAGAGCACCAAACAATGATGTAGTTTGATACCAAGATGGTAGAAAAGGCATGTGACAGTAGGCGAAGGCAAAGAGAAGAGTCTTCAGGTAAGATCTGAAGACCGGCAAAGAGGGGGAAAGCAGATGATTGAGGTGGGGAATTCTGGGGTGTAATGGCTTAAAGAGCAAGGAGCGGAGGAATCAAGGAACATGCAGAAGTCCCAAGTGATTTGTAAGTAAGTGTGAGGTTCTTGAAATTGATTAGCTATCACAGGTAGCCTATGGAGATGTTTCTTAGAACTACTTGTATACAACAGGGGAACATTTCATAAAAATCCCAAGTTCAAAATATTCAAAGGCCTTAAAAATTGAAAGGAAAAAAAGGTATGTATTACCGAAGATTGACCTCTCCTTCAAAATGCACATTAAAAAAATCATATTAAACAAAACTTGCTAAATAGCTTTACTTAAAAAAAATTCTTATGAAGAGAGGAAAGTAAAAAGAAAATCTAAATAAAATTTGCATTTTGCCAAATAATAGCATTTGTTATAGCGCCTTATCACATCATTGAGATGTCTCAAAGCACCTCACAGAATATACTGTAAAGTGGATTGAGTGTATATTTTGTGGGCAAAATTATATCATTTGAAATTCTAAAATGGTAAAATTACCTTCAGGATGGCAATCTTGACCTTCATTTCATTGCAAGACAGAACCTTAAATTACACTTTGCTTTCTGAGAACTGCAGTTTGGGCATACACTAATTAACTTGCATCTCTAAATGGCACTGAGCCAAAGTTAACAGGATTAAACTGTAATGAAAATTAAGAACTGCAAAATGTGTCTTGAAATATGTTTTTCTTTATAGACTGAAGCAACAGGTTTCAATTTTAAGTCTCATTTGTTTGACTTCACACACCTGTCTGGCTGAAGTTTCCAGGTGCGAGTGTGCTGTGCTGCATCCCCATGGTGCTGCTGGTGTAGATGTTGTGGGTGCCGCCTTTGCTGCTGCTCCTGTTGAACTTCCACCCAGCATGGAGGGACAGTAGCTGAAAAGCGTGGGGTCAATGTCTCAAACCTAGTGAGCTCGACCAGTGATGTCAGTACTTCCGCAGAGAAAGGTTGGTCCACCAGCAAGTCAACTCCTACAAAGAGAAACAATGTCATGCCAAATAGATTTTAGCATTAACACATGGCTTCCACATCTTCCATCTAAAGAAATAGTCAGACCTGCTGCAACATTCAGAGTAGATACCACTTTTACACTGGATTAGGTTAATTTCAATAGGTAGATGGTATACATATGTGGAACTCCCAGTCTGGTTTGGATGCTCTTAAGCATGGTGATGGTTTCCACACATGTCAAGACACCTGGCTGGCCAAAAACACAACCTGCACCAAACGACAATTTCATTTGCCTAATCTTATTCTTCCACACCCTTATAAAGTAATCACTTATAATGATTATCATTATTATTACTGCATTCTTAATCCCCTCAGTACCTGAATGTCTCATCTCCTTCTGGGAACATCAGTGGGCAATGCATTCCTCACTTCTATACTGACCCATTTGAGCATCCCATGGCTAGTAGTGAAATCTAAGCAGTTTATTAAGCAATAATATGGAGCACATCATCATTAGATGAGACATGAATTAATAGTCTTCGCCTTCAACACTCTCGACCACTGCATCCTCATACACCACCTCTCCGCTTTACTCAATCTTCACGGACCTGCCCTTGCCTGGTTCTATTCCTATCTCTCCCACCTTCTCCACTTTGTTGCCTCTAATGGTTTCTCCTCCAGCCCCCGCACTGTCACGTCTGACGTCCCCCAGGGCTCTGTCCTTGGCCCTCTCCTCTTTAATATCTACATGCTCCCCCTTGGTGACATCATCCACAGACAAGGGGTCAACGTCCAAATGTATGCGGATGACACTCAACTCTATCTTTCTGCCTCCACCCTTAACTCCAGGACCACTGCTGTCCTGACAGACTGCCTGTTAGACATCAAGTCCTGGATGAGGGCAAATTTCCTACAGTTGAATGTGAACAAGACTGAGGCCCTCCTGATTGGCTCGCGCTAGTGCCGCTGCACCTCAGGCTCTGGCAGCATCAACCTCCATGGTCACACACTTCAACTCACCGCCAGTCAGGAACCTGGGTGTCTTGTTCGACCCTCAACTGTCTTTTCTCCTAAACATTCAAGCCATGACCCGCTCTGCCTTCCCTCACCTCCGTAACATCGCCCAACTCCGCCACTACCTCACCCCTCAGGCCGCTGAAACTCTCGTTCATGCCTTCATCATCTCCAGGCTCAACTATGCAAACTCCCTGCTTGTCGGCCTTCCCAACTCCTCCCTCCACAGACTGCAGATAATCCAGAATTCTGCAGCCCGTGTCCTCTCGCCCGACTCCATTGGCTTCCTATCCTTCATAGGATCCAGTTCAAGATCCTGGTCCTCACATACAAAGCCCTCCATGGCCTCGCCCCATCCTACCTCTGCGACCTCCTAACCCCCTACCAACCAGCCCGTTCCCTCCGCCCAGCAGGCTCTGGCCTGCTCTATGTCCCCCAATCCACCCACCCCACCATTGGCGGGAGAGCCTCCAGTCACTCCGCCTCACCCCCTCCTTAGCCTCCTTCAAGTCCTGCCTCAAGACCCTTCTCTTTGACCATGCCATCCCCCCCTTCCCTCCCTTCCCCCCCCTGACCCAGCTCGGGTCTGAAAGCTGTACACTGTCCAGCGCCTTGGGACGTCCTCCTGACGTAAAGGCACTATACAAATGTAATCTTTTTGTTGTAGTAATGTTTACCTGCTCTTGCAGGAGTAAGTTTACTAAAACCACAATAACATCTTCATTTGCAATATTTACTCTAAAAGCTACACTGTCAGGTATGGCCTTGGAATAAGTGAATTATGCAAATATATATGGGCACCACCGGCATGTGTTCAACACCAATTTGCGGTTTATTTGTATACAAACCATCACTCATCAATTTATTTCATATCAATTGGGCACTCCGGAATATAAATAGTGTTCAACATAATCACTAACAAGCAATGTCACAGCATGGTTTCAGGTCAAACAACTTGACTCCCAAATCTCAATGAGTTACCAGCAGAGTGCTGAGCAAAGACCACACATCTTTCCATAGAGATAGATGGAAGGAGAAAAAAATCATCCCAAGGCCTAAAACTGAACAGGGAGCAGGCTCAATAAGTTACTTTGATAACCTATAAAATTCTTACCTGCAATTCCAGGACTAGAAGGAGTAGACGTATATTTTGTTCCTTCTGACAATTGTTCTATCCCTTTAGGAATGGGTCCATCCACAAATATATCTGTTTCATCTGCATCTTCAAAAGTCCCTCCAATTTGAAGGAAATGAAGGTCTCCACCTTTAAAAGAATAAACTTTTATCATATGATTTGCCAGAGACAGCTCCAAACATCTCTAACTGCAAAAGGATAGAATAGTTCAGTCTCTTGACTTCTCTATGTATGACATTTCCGTTTTCCCTTGGTTGGGCCACATGACCTTTCCATTTAACCCAGGAGCACCCATCCCAACCCCAAAAACCAGAAACTCAAGTCCAACAATTCATGCAACTAAGATAGTTTGGAAACCAATCAATTTCCATAACACAAATCACACTGCTTAACATGAGCAACACACATTTTAAAAGAATGTCCGCACAAAGGATTTCAAATAAAATGAAATTCTAAATAAAGGAGAAATCCAATGATTGGACAGCAGTGAGCTGGTGCACCTCCGGCATCAATGCTTGGACTCAGTCCAAACAAAAGCATCTTCTGCCAACTGCAAACATCCGAGATGTAATTATAGCTTTAAAAGAACTGCAATCAGTGTGAATTCATAGTTCAAAGGTTCCCGAAATTCAGTAAAATTGGAATAAGCTTTAAGGGCAGTTGGTGTAAGAAATGGAAAGTTTATGCTGGTACAATTAAGTATGCTCTTCTGAATTTGTACTCATGCATACTATTGGGATACAGCAGAGCTTCACTTTGCATTTACTCCCAACTCCAAAGTAGAAACTGACTAATTTGCCAACATAGTAATCAGTCATCACAAGGAGCACAAAGATTTTGGTCCTATATCAAAATAGAAAAGACCATTTGCAATATTATAGCACTTTATCATATTTAAATGTTTCAAAGCATCTTATAATAATAATAATCCTTGCATTTGATATAGCGCTTTTCACGTCGGGAGGACGTCCCAAAACGCTTCACAGAACATACTGTAAAGTGAATTGATTGTATATTTGTGGGCTAATGCGGCAGCCAATTGCGCACAGCAATGTCCCACAAACAGTCGTAGATTGAAAATGACCAATTTATTATTGTTTTTTGTTTTTGGAGGGATTTTTATTAGGTGTGTGGAGTAAGGAAACTTGCCCAAGGTTTCACCCTCTGCCTGGAATTGAACTCAGGTCTCTCACTTGCAAAGCGAGTGCTCTAACCACTGAGCTACAGGACTCCATCTTACACTGATAGCTGACATGCTAGCAAGGTAACATGGTTCTTGAAGAGTGTTCTGAAGGGCGGGGTAGAGGATACTGTTCCCGAGTTGGAAGGTGATCCAACCAATGCATCAAATATAGAGATTGAAATTCAGCTCAGAGTCATTCAGAATGCATTAAGCAAGCAACTAGGAAGGTTGATAAAATCAGAGCCAGAGGCACTTAGGTGCTGGCAAGAATCGAACAAGATGGCTTCAGTCTTCTTGATGGAGTAAATCATGGTTCATACAGAACTTGATGTCAGAAAGGTAGTCAGAACAAGGAACAGATGAGATCATTAAGAAGTAGCATACAGATGAGAAGGGGACAAAGGATACATCCCTAAGATACACTGATTTTGAGGGCCAGGGCAAACATGTCAAAGTAAGAGGGAGGACACAAATCTGCATTTGTAGCCAGACACAGTAAATGTAAAAAATCAATAAAATGTTGCTTAAACTGAAACAAAAATGTCTGTAAAATAGCTAGTGTATAGTGAAATCTCTATTATCTGTCAATATGGGAACAAAGACACTGTTTGGTTTCCTACCAAGAATTCTGTCCAAGCACAATATGGTGGAGCCTCGCTACAAAGCACTTGTTGGATGCATACAATTCCAATCCATTTTACATGACAAGGTGGTGTAATTGTGCAAGGCCTTCTTGGTCTATGTGCTTCTGGCTGATTCTGTCAACCTTCCTAGCTGCTTGCTCGTATTATTCTTGCCGACTGAGCTGAAATTCAATCCCCTTATTTGATCTGTTGCTTGGATTGTTTTCTTCTAACAATATTACCTGTCACTGAGCCCTGTCCTTGTTTCCTGTGTGTCAGCCACCTCTCATGCTAACAAAATGGCCATCTTCCAGATTATTGGGTTTCCATTCGTGTTGTGTCTTATGAGCTGTGCATGTACAGTGCAGAAAGCAACATTGGCAGGAAACTAAAGATCTAAGTTGGCATTTTGGGGACTGAAGCTGGCCAGCACACAAAGTGAGATGGGCAGCTTTGTGCATACAGTGAATGGGTTCCACACCCCAATCCTGTTGTAAATAAACCAGCAATCTAATGAAGCACGCTATAATAGAGCTACATTGTTTAACGATATCTGGAATGAATCACAAACAAGTTCTAAGGAAATTTAATTCTAGATCCAAGGGATTAACAATGCAATACAAAATAGTTTTTATATACCCATCTTCAAAATTGTAAGCAACATTGTGCCTTCGGGATGCATAATGGAGTCCTGTAGCTCAGTGGTTAGAGCACTCGCTTTGCAAGTGAGAGACCTGAGTTCAATTCCAGGCAGAGGGCAAAACCTTGGGCAAGTTTCCTTACTCCACACGCCTAATAATAATCCCTCCAAAACCAAAACAATAATAAATTGGTCATTTTCAATCTACGACTGTTTGTGGGACATTGCTGTGCGCAATTGGCTGCCGCGTTCGCCCACAAATATACAGTCAATTCACTTTACAGTGTGTTCTGTGAAGCGCTTTGGGACGTCCTCCCGACGTGAAAAGCGCTATATCAAATGCAAGGATTATTATTATTATTATTATTATTATAATATTAAAGGCCCCAACAGTAGCCACAAAACTGGCACCACCTTTTTCTAATTTTTTTTAAAATCAGACCTGGAGACAACCAAACTTCAATACAAAGTGCTGTGAGTCATGACACAGGTTTGCATCCTCCCTGCTCCCCACTCTTCATAAAAGCTCCAGATCTCAACATACTGTTAAGAGCCGTTGCTGAAAGGGTGTAAACACTCCCCAGAGATGGGAAGAAGAAACAATATTCTATTTATTCTACTCCTTTTGCTGTTGTACTTTGCTCCTGCTATGCAAGCATTTAGGAATGTCATCTTGCTTTCCTCTGAAGCGAGAAGTACCATGCCACCAAATGCATAGTGACTTTCTAAGTTTCAGAGGGAATCAGAGCATATTAAGTAAAACACCCATTTCACCTGAGTCCACACATTTTCTTTTCTTTCTCCATTCAATTCTTAATTTCCCTGTAATGCATTTTGTCCACCTGAGGAGTGAACCTCTCAGATCACTTCCAACACTCTCATTGAGGAGATCAGGTCGAAAGCAATTTCTCATTTCATTCCACTCCTCCCTCAGGAAACTCACTCAACATAATCTTTCGTATTTATTTTGAATTAGACAACACGAATAAACGATCCCTCCAATTTCTGAAGCATACAGAATGCTCCGATAGTTTTAAAAGATGCAGTAAAACAAAACACGGGGCAATAATAATAATTGTATTTGAAAGGAGAAAGAAAAAAAATTGCCACAAAATATTAGGGAGTTGAAACAAAACAAAAAGTATAAAATTTGATCCCACTTTCAGCAACACTTACCTTCAATTTAGCAACAAGCACCGAGGGAAAGAAAATGAAAATCTAATTCTGAGGGGATCATTTTGGCTTTTACAATTTTTTTTTATGGACGAGCCAGTAGAGGAACAATGGCGTTGTGCTCTAAGTGGGCTACATCATCAACTGATGCAAAATTATTTTGTACCACAATCTCTGGTTCCATTGGACACAAATGACAAATTATGTCAGCACATGTAAGCTACTAATCAGGCTTGATTAAAAAANGTGTTCATGGAGACAGGCAGAAGGGGAGAGAGAGTGAAATTCTATAACTTAGATTCAGACAGAGACTAATGTACAATTTAATCCATTAACTGGATGTGTAAGTGAAATCTTAAGGTCACTGGTCCATTTCAAAGGAATGAAATCCCAACTCGTATTTACACACTGTATGAATCAAGCTCCAAAAAGCTTACGTCATATGAAACACTTAACTGTCTTGAACCATGAAGCTCACTCACAAGCCACCAAATATGGAGCTGCATATGATATTTTAAAAAAATTACAATAGAATCAATAAAAACATTTGAAAAAATAATTGATAACTGCTTCAAAACAGTAGTCGAAAACCTCATTATTGAATACTGTTGCACTTGAGACACATTTAACATTTTTGTTGCAAGATAAAGTTAGTCATGAAATTCTTACCGTAAGTGCTTGCGCAAAGTCTGTCTGTTCCAGAGCAGTATACCACCGAGATAAAAGGATCCAGTTCGTTACCATTCTCTTTTCGAGGTGGCTCCACTTTGGCCAGAGTTTCAAAGTTGGAGAGATCTAATATTTTCACAAATCCTCCCTCAGTAGTAACTACTAAATGGCCCAGACTAGATGCAGCAGATTTCTTATCTCTCCCATTTCCATTTTTTGAGATCAAAGGCATTTCATCAATTATTTCCTCACAATCGTCTTCCCGATTATTCAAAACATCTGGTGGAAGTAATATTAGTGAGGTAACAGCATCCTGTGGATCCTTGATATGTTGAATTTGAATAGGCTGCTCTTCCAAAGATACTATCCTGGTGGTATAGTTCATTTTATAAAGCAGAAGATAACCACCACTCCGGTTTCTTTGTTCAGGCTGGATAATGAGTGGAGTTGGTGCATCACTAGGTGATCCTTCCTGGAGGGCACTAATATCTGCACCATTCCCTATGGTTAGATTGGATTCTAAATCTCCTTTATTTCTACTACACAGTGCAGAGTTCAATTTATTTAAGTTATTCAAGGCCTCTACTTGATTTATTGCACTCAGAGATGTGACTGGAGATGTCCTCAGTCCTATCAAAAGATGAAGTCCATCAGCACAGGGAGTAATGGAATCAACATACAGATTCTCCTCTTCAGCAAATTTTGGTAGCCGTAGGCAATGAACTAAAGCTCCAGGCTTCGGAACCGCTGCACTCCATTTATCTGTTTCTACAGAGGCAAGGTTAGCAGCAGCAGAAGCAAACTGCTGAATGTACGTCATAGGAGGGTCCTGCAGCAGCAGTTGCTCTTGGCTGTCTAATTCCATTTCTATTATCTGCGGGACAGTGAAACCTTCATCATGTAAACTTTTACTCACAAGATTGTTCATCTGTGCAAAAACTTTGCCTGCTTTTTCATCAGATTCTTTAATGCTATAAAGCAACAACAAAGGCAAGGTCCTTCTTACTAAAGGTGAACTCAACTCCGAATTACTACAGGATTCGATGTCCACAGTCACTTGCTCAGACACACTTTCACCTTGAGTCCTGCTTAAAGAATCTAGGGATCTACGTGAGTGACTACTAACAGGGGAGGCAGCAGCAGATTTGTAGGATAGTAAAATTCCTGCTAACAAACACGGAAAGGGAATGTTGTGCTGCTCAGGATGCTTTTCCTTATTTTTCTCACTCTTTGTTACTGTAGATGGATTTCCACCCAGCTCCTCCAGGTCCTTAACTGTATCCTCAAGCACATTTGCCACTATTTCCCACTGAAGCTTTTCAGGCTGCTGGAGAATGCTCAGCCCGGTCACGTCAACATTGATGTCCATGCTGCACTCCTTCTGAGAAGTATGCCCTGGTAAGAGACAAGATTTTTAACATTAATCCTTTGTTCAATTAATCACCAGCTCTTATTGCAAGCCACTTTATATCACATTTCAACTCAGCCCAATGATAAAATCAAAACTAATGAATCAAAGCAGTAACCTCAAAGTTACATTTTCTCATTCTTGATAGCACGTCCCCTTTTTAAAAACAAGCTCCTTACATTAAAAGGGACTTACCTCCTTACCATGCCAAGGTCTTGCTGAAATAGCCCACCTTTTGTAAGATGGGAGTCTGGAACACATGTCTTATCAACTTGTGGTACACTAACAGGTACCATAATAAGATCACGTAGATGCAATTGAGTCCAAAATTTTCATTAAATCTCTCCACTCCCAATATTCAACTAACTGAGAAGTTAGCCATTGGATAACAATGTAAATCAATTATTTGTGATTTTCCTAGTTTGGGAGATGATGACAACAGGAGAGTATCCTCCTTGGAAAATTCACATATCTGAACAATGGTAATTGTGGACAGCAATCTGGGCTATACCCAGCAAACTCTCACTGCTTTAGTTCATTTTTGGTTCCCGCAGAACCACAATTACTGAGCTCCACCAATCCTAAATGCAGAGTGGACAAAAACACAGTGGGATGCTGCTAAGACAACTTATGCTATTGCTATATATTCTTGCATGCAATATATCTGAATAATTGACATGTTGTACAAGATCAAATTTATGCAAATAATTAATTATTACTTGTTTCTAAAGTCAATTCCAAGCTACAGTTACCATGTGCTCAAGCTAGTATTAAAAAAATAATTAATTGCTGCTTATGGTGAACTGAAAGCCTTTCAGAGCTTTGCCTGCCCTGCCCTCCCCACCATTGGCAGTGAGGCCTTCAGCTTTTCTGTTCCCACCCTCTAGAACTCGATCCTGGAATTCCTCTCTCGCCGTTTCCCTTGCCTCCTTCAAGGCCCATCTCAAGACCTTCCTCTTTGAACAGGCTTTTGGCCACCCATCCACCCTCCAAGTCAAGAATTCAGTTTTCTCTTTAGGAGACACAAGTGAACTTTTTGTGATAGAAAAACTGTGGGAACAAAAAAACTTAAATTTCAGACTTGGTTTGGTGAAGAGGAAAGTGATGATACATTTCAGTTTAGCAGTTCTAATAGAAGATAAGAACATAAGAACTTGCTAGGCAAAAGAAGACCAAGGTCCATCTAGTTCGCCTTCCACCATCCTAGCAGTCACTTGATGTGATACACTGTATCCCGAGATATTATTTTTTAGCAGAAATCTATCTAATTTGTTCTGGAAAGAAATGACACTGCTTCCACTGTCTCCTTTGGAAGCTTGTTTCATAAGTTTAATACTCTCTCACTAAAGTAGTGTTTTCGCCGATTTGTTCTACAAGACGTCTTCTCTAAAGTTGTTTCAGCAAACCTCAGACTTGAATTCTTCAGCAAAAATGTTAATACAGTACATTTAATTAATAATTCACCTTAGGGAGCAGAAATCAAATGTTAGAGAAGGGTACGTCAGAAAATTGTAGTGTTCATTTTTGTGCAGAGCTAAGGAAAATACAGTAAATGTTTCCGCATTTCCCATACCTGTTGCTGAATCTGATCTGGAATGCTCTTCACTATCAGAATCTTCAAGTTGATCATCACTATCAAAATAAAAAAAAACTTGAAAACATACCACTACATAAGCCACACAAATCTTAGAATTGTTGCATCATCTCAAATTGAAGTAATGACGAATTACTGCATGCGCACCAAGTGGCTGCATTAAATTACATGAGTAGTGTAGTAAACGTTGATTAATCAGATTTTCTACAAATTCTAGTTTGCCTGCAAGTCGGACTCCGCATAATTCATAATAAATGTTACGTTTCCGACCAATGCGAGTATTACTGTAATTCATACTTACTGTCATGTTACACAAAACCCTTATTTGTTTACCTGTCTCCTTCTAGTCTTGGTATATCAGAACAACTGGAAGAATCTTCTAACCATGCTAATGTTGGTCTCCTGGATTCACTAACCGATCCTTGCTCCACCCCAAGCATAGAAATTTGCCTTAAAATTGCTGGATCATATGGATTAATGTCAAATTTCAAATGAACCTGTATAAAACAAAAATGATAAGCTTGTTTTATGAAGGGTAAAAGCCACGTGGTGGTTTCCAGTAGTGCGCTGCGCTATGGAGTAATAGAATGTGCATTACGAACACAAATAGAATCTAGCCTATTCTTTATATAGCTCTCATTAATAATAACCACCCTTGCATTTGAAATGAACTATAATGATAAATAACAATAATCCTTGAATTTGATGTAGCACCTTACTACGTTTCAGAGTGTCTCAAACGCTTCACAGGATAAGCTGTAAATTAATTTACAGTACATTTTGTGGGCGAAACACAGCAGCAAATTGCACACAGTCGTGGATTTGAGTGAGCAAATTATTATTTATTTTTGATGGGATTATCATCCACGGAAAAAGATCCGCCAATTGACTAACAAGCAGGTTCCTGCTAGGTAAACAGAAGCATGTGGAATAACAAAACTCCCCTTAGGTTTTGCCCTGCCCGGGAATCGAACCCAGGTTCTCACACTTTGTGAGAAAAAATAACTGGCAGAGGAAACAAAGATGCAAAGTTGTAATTCTAACCCAGACCAACAAACTAATTTTCATACCTTCATCATTTTAGATACATCCCATATACAGATCTTCCCACGTCTTGTTGAAGCGGCTAAGAAATGAGGACAGCTTCCAAAGCCAATACATGCTATCCTGTCAGGAGCATCTATGCTGGGAAACTGTGCTGGACTGGTTGCCAAGGTTATTGATAGCGGCACATTTTGTGTGTGTTCCCCCTTCACAAATGGGCAGTTAGGAGAATGCCGTTCATGTTCTGACCTATGAAGCATAAAAAGAAACAAAACTAGAAAATAGCAGACTAAATCTTAACAGTCTTACATAATGAAACCTTGTCAAACTGCTGAAATTGTTATTTATTAAAATGAAGCATTATTTTTTGACTGCTTGAATAGAAAGACAATGGCTTAAATTTGGCAGTTAATAAACAATTTTAGCACAACAAGGAAATGTTATATCACTGTCCATTGCATCTGTCTTGCTCTCCACTTCAACTATTTACTCCACAAATAGACATCAAAACCAGTGAAAAGCAAATTAGATAAACACACAAGATTACGAGTGCGGAGTGAATAATTTAGTGTTTATTTAATTCTGTTTTACTGGTTTAATGTCCACAAATAGTAACTTGTTCCAAATCCTCATAGCTTTCTGGAATGAAGAATTACTGTCTCGCACTTTATGCTCCTAATAATCCTGAGTTTATGTCCCTTGTTGGTGATTTATCAGCAATAGCAATAATCATTCATTCTAAAACTTGTGCATAATTTTTCCATAAACTTACTATAAATCCCCGTCTCAACATTTTCTGTTCAAGGTTTTAAGATGATCATAACAAAATTATCCCACGCACCAACTTTGTGGCTTTGGCATCCCATCTGTAATGGGTGCGCTAAGTACTCCAAGTGTGGTACAGTAAACATGTATACAAAATTAATGTGACCTCAGTAGCATCCAAAATTAATCAGGAGCAAGCTAAAACATTTCTTTGATCAAATGGTGTATAGGAAAGAATTTTGCAAATTTTAGGTTTGTTACATTGGGAAAAGTGTTGTGCAAAATATGCTATTTCTAGTTTAATCAACAGACTAAAAATGTAGGGAACTGATATGCTGAGGGCTTGAGCCAGTAAACACCACCAATGTAAATACTCATTAACTGGTGTTTTTTTAAAAAAACTTTAAATGCATTACTTCAGCTCCAGTAGATTCCCCGAAACAGCTCAGTTTTACAAAAAAAAACTACGAAGAAATACCCAGCCCATGTTGTCTCCCGGCCAATCAATCCGATCTTTGCTCGGTTCCCTCGACTCCCCATCCCCGAGCAGATTGAATTCAAGATATTCTCTCTCATCTCCAAGGTCTTTCCCCACCCTTCCTCCACAACCTCCATCAACCATGTCATTCCCTTCACTCGGTGAAGACCAGCTTGCTTGATGTCCTCCACCCTTTCTCCTCCTACCATCGGCAAGCACACTTTCAACCATTCTGGCCCCGCTCTCTGGAACTCCCATCCAAGTCCCTCCAACTTTGCCTCTCCTTCGCCTCGTTCGAAGTTTGTCTCAAGATACACTTCTGACTGTGCTTTTGGTCATTGTTCCCCTCTTCAACCCCTTTTGGTTACACTCCAGTTCTGGTGTCCAGTCAGCTGTGTAAAGCACTTTTGAGACATCCAACATAAAAACTGCTATATAAATGGAAATTGTACATCATTTGATCCATTTAGCTTATTCTGCTCTGCAAACCCCACCACCCCAACCCCAGGTCATTTTCATCTCTTCTCCCCTAATCCACCTGCCAAAACAATCCCTCCTGTCAAAAGAAAATTGAACATTCAAATTAACGATATAATTTCTAAATGGGGAACATGTTCTTAAAAATATCCGATTGTGGATAAAACTAAGAAATAATTCATGCACATGGCATGGCATTAGAGTTGGAACTTTAATTAGAAATCAGAATGCAGAAAGCATTTCTATATGCAATTCAAGCATTCCAAATGTTCTCCATTTGCTTTAGCAAGAGTAGGGAACAACAAAACTTACCAAGGCTCATCTGTAGGCTCCCAGCACACGAGGCACACACTACACGTAAAACACATTGCTCTGTCATCCCCAGAAGAGGCTGGCTAAATAGATCAGAATAAAACAACTTTAGTTATTCAGTAATCTCTGAGAACAGGCTTTCTTGGAAAGTATAAATTGCTTTCAGATATGGATCAGATTCCTTCGTATTGCAAATTAGAATTAAAGACAGCCTGCAGGCTTTAAAACAGAGAACAAACAGGCTTTGACCATGCAGAACTCAGACATCTCTTAGAATCAAGGCTACTATTCTAATATTCCTCTTTTTAAAGCATCATTTAATTCCCTTTTAAATTGACAGACTTAAATTTACAATTTACTGACGATTTCAATTTACAGACTAGTCTATTATTAATCAACGTATCCCAACCGTTCATAATCTTGATGACCTCTACCAGGTCACTCCTTAACCGTCGCAGTTATCCTGAATAGTTCAACTTTTCATAGATGTAAAGGTGATGACAATACTTATTATTCCTCAATATTCTCGAGAATCAAGTGAAAACAGTATGAAAAGAAACATATGAAATTCAGATATAATGCAGGGTAGTCCAGTATCAGGCAAGCAATTGCACCCAAGCAATGTTTGAGTGAAACCTATTAAAATACTCATACTGTCGTACCGTAGCTCAAACGTGTCGTATCTAAAACATTTCAAAGCACTTCACAAGTAATTACCGTTATTGTAGGAAAACAGAAGGTCCCACAGCCTCCCATGAGGTGAAGATAGTTGGCCAGGAGAAGCTCCTTTTTTTTAAAAATAGAGCCATTTCTTTTAAAATGGTGCCATCGTCTAACAGTCATCTCTGACAGATTAAAGTTTCATCTGAAAGGCAGTACCTTCCAACAATGCAGCATTTCCCTAGAACTGTACTCAAGGGATAGCCGACACAATGATCTCAGGTCGAAACTTAGATCTTGGAATTCATAACCTTCTGATCCACAAGTGAGAACAAGCAATTTAAGATGGAGGTGCATTTGTTCAGTTTAAAATCGGAAACATTTCCCACATAAAATGAAATTCAATATCACAAATGCTTCAAGGAAAAAGTACAATACTCAATACTGAGAATGAACATTAAGACATAAATGGTTTCCTTATTATACTTTGTCTTGTTCAGCATTTAAGTACATATTTTATAATTTCAAATAATTCTGAGGCATTATATAAATTGATTCAATGGAATGACATTTCGCAATTATTTAAGTTATTAAAAACTTACTTGGTGATAGAATCCAGCCTGAGCCATTGGGTCCGGCTGTGCCCATCTGTATCCTACATGTGGCCAAGAGGTGAAGGTTTCTCTTCTGTTAGCCTCACTGTACATTAATGATCTATGGAAAAAGTGTCAAATGTGTTTAGACTACAAAACCTTCAAGGTAATATGTACTTAATTCTCAGAATGAACCAGATAGGTGCAATGATTGCATGGAACCTGTGTTTATTCAGTAGGAAACGATTGGGAGATACAAATTCTAAGATAGTTATTCTTAGGTTTAAAAATATAATTCCCTGAGTCTTCTTCCCCATCAAGAAGGAAAAGCAAGTCTGAAATGTAATGATTTGCTTGGGAAAGGAATCCCTATTGTCAAATTCAGTAATACATTTCAATTTGGGGTGTGTGTATAAATACATATTTTATATATTATAAATACATATTTTATATACATATTATAAATACATATTATATTATAAATACATATTATAAATATATTATATAATATATATATTATATAATATATATATAGGAGTGGAGACGGGGAGAATTTTTCAAAAAATTAAGATATTTCCTAGCAAGTAAGAGTTTGCATTTAATGTGAGGGAAAAAGTGAAAGAATTTATATTGAAAATACTCCCCTGTAGAATAACTATTTTATAATCAACATATAACAGTGACAATATACTACCCTGTTTTATGAATATTAATATTATTGTCACAGTCCCAGGTAAGACAACACAAAACAGACGTCATTTCAAAATAGGCTTTAATGATCAAGCAACAATGCCAGATTTTGAAAGTTGCAAGTGGATCGCAGTGGGATGACAACCCTTCTTGGTACCAGCTTGTTTGGATATGACAGAAAGGAAAGAGGAGAGAAAGGTCAGAGCAGGCATGAAAACTGAAGTTTTCAGCTTCAAAAGATCACTGCAACAAAATTAAGAGTGATTTACAAATATTCTTGCCAGGCAAATGAGTCATATAACAAAAACGTAATCTCTTGTGTATCAAAATGCTTATTGAACACAAATGCTCTTCAGTATTATGCATAGATCATTTTACACAAGGTATTGAAAGATTGACAGAGATTACCTAAGATATATAAAATCAATCAAGTACTGGAAGAATTTGGGTATCCAGGTGACTTAAAAAGCAAATTCTTTCAGAACAAACCCGAATACAAGTGTTCGTAGCTTTTTAAAGCATCATTTATTGAGACAGCTGGTTGAAGCTAGGCTTTCAATTATTGCTGTACTCCTGCACACAAGGCAATAGGTAAGTTAAGACAAATCAAATATCTGAGATTTTCAGGTCAGTCCGATTCAAACAGTAAAAAATACTTTTCCTTTTATCCATATTACAGCAGTAATTCCTAGTATTGTAGACATTTCGCTCCTCTTTCACTCTCAACAGCAAAAAACAAAGGAGACAGGGATTTAAGAGGAGTTAAGAGTTTTAATGGAGTAATTTACCCATATTTACAAAACAGGTAATAGCATTTACTAAACACTCAGTACCATCGAATTCCAGTTGGGTGGTGCATTGACAAAGCAGGAAAGTTTTCTTCCCCCTATCACAAAAGCACCTCCTACTGCATTAGCTATTCCTGTAACCATCCATCTACAGAAAACTATATTCATCACTCCAAGGGACAATGATCGCTGCATTACGATTAATGCAACAATTAAAAGAAACAGAAAGATGGGAATAAGCACAAGCTTTGACTAGGATTCTTCATAAAGAAAACTAGAACACCAAGACAACTATTGTCAAAATTAGTTAAAATCTTAAAATATTTCACACTTGCTCTTTATGTAAACTGTAAAGCAACATTACAATTATAATTTAATTGCATACTTAATAAACAAACATCTCATACCTGTCTACAGAGCGACCAGGACCCACACCAAGTTCAGGTCGCGCACTTGGTAAGAGGTAGGACAGCCTGTCCATTACAGATGAAGCTACAGGCAGGGCAGCAATATTATGATTGGTCTTTTTCAACTCATTTACAATGGCATTGGCAACTGACTTCAGGATATGATGAGGAAGATGAAAAGTAACTGTTGCCCACTACAAAAAAAAATTAAGAATGGTCAGACATGTGTTCATTAAAACCAAAATAATTCAGAAAGTGAGACATTTATAAATATGCTATGGAACTTGATTCAATAAAACACAACTTCATTAAAAGCTGGACCTGTGTGATTAACCATAATTGCACAAACATTTTATTTCTATGTGCGATTTTGACCAGATTATTTGAGATGTTGGGGTAGGGGGAAGAAAAAAAATCACTGGAAGATCAGAGAGGAGCAAATATCAAGAGATTCCCTAACATTTGGCAGCTGAGATTTGAAGGCATTATTCACTATGCAATTTGCTAAACAATAACAAAATTGTAAACTCAACGGCATGATTCAACTACTGTTATTGAACAGATGGGCCATCTCGCTCCCATAAAGTTGCTATGAAAGCTTTTTCCAAATAATGATCAACACATAATGCAGTGATGTAACTCAGGTCAAACAAATCATTGGGTCAGTGGTGCATGAAGTCATTATGAATTCACATCTCTTCTGGACAGTTCTCTAAAATAGTCCACCCTTTTAAACAGCAGTCTTCTTTCTCCCTTCTACCTAAACCAAATCTTGCTAAGGATCACCTTTAACCAAAGAATAATGGTGTTTAATATTAATAGTAACAGACTTCTATTGAAAAAAATCAAACAGTATGTTCGAACAATACAACAAGAAGCATTTATACAGCACCCTTCACCCAGGGTAGCGTCAGATCCTGAAAAGAGAGAGAGAGAGAAAGGGAGAATCAAAGTTTCGGGGTGTGTGGCTGAAAGCACAGTCGCTGATGGTGGAGCAGAGTGGACGAGGGTAAAACAGGAGCACGGAGCCAGACGAGAGGAGGTGGTGGAATGGAGAATAAGTAGGTCGGAGAGGTAGGGAGGTGCCAGGGCATCAAGGGATTTGATGAATGTGAGGAACTTGAAGTCGATCCATTCTGTGATAGGGAAACAGTGGAGTCTGGCAAGGATTGGGGTGATGGGGGTATGGTACCCCACAGCGCACATATACATATGGGCACATGCAAAACAACCTAATGCATTGAAATTTAACAGGCATGAACACCACTAATTATTTGCAACAGAGATGACTCAATACATTATTATCTGCTTATTATTTTAGGACCTTTTCTGGCAGTGCTGATCTTCACCCACAAATTAATATTCATAGAAACAGAAATGCAAGAATAAAGAGTGGACTTTTGCAGTTATCTGTCCAATGACACTCAAAACAAAATAAAACTTTATACCCTGCTGACAATTCCACCTATTAATTATAACATTTTAAGTTGTGGCCTTTTATGCAAAACGACACTCAAAATCTATTTTCCCAATTACTGCTATCAAAACTAGGGAAGTGTAACTCAGTAAAAAGTAACGTCATATTTAGTCCAATAATCCTGTTTTAACTAGTTTCATTCGCAGTTATCAGAAAAAAAGTGTACACATTATTTTGTACAAGTGGGAGACATCATCGTACTACTTATGCAACAGAGTCATGAACAGAACATATTCTCACAGCACCAATCACCTTCCCTTTGAAAGTGCAAGGATAGGTTCACCTGTCAACCTGCGCCTAATACACTCTGGAATTAGGTAAGAGAGTACACATTCTACTCCAGATGCAAGGAAATGTTAACATGTAGGTGACATACATACGTGGAACTCAAGTCTGGTTTGGATATTCTTGAGAATGATGTAGGGTTTCCACATGTCAAACACCCAGAATTACTATTCAAATCACATTTTTTTTCTTCAGTTGTCAGTTAGCCTCTGCTTCTTTAACCAAAATTCAAATGGTTTTACATTTTGCTGTTTTCTAGGGAGATGCAGCTAAAAGAATAATTTACTTTCAGTTTCACTTCAGGCCATCATGCTAATTTATATTCTCCATTATATTCGTTATATTTGTTTTCTTTAAAAGTGCCAACCTGGAGTCCCTGAACACCAGTCCACTTTATTGTGTGAATTTATCTCATCAGCATCACCTTTAATCTTCCACTCATGCAACTTTATTTATGACATCACCCTACAATATCAGCTTAATCTTCAGAAACAGAACTCATTTTCCTTCATCAATTTGATATGAATCTATAATTGTATGGAATAGCTACATTTTTGTTTAGATCTGGCTATCTGATCACACCAGATGCCTCACTTTAGGATCCGGTTAATGCTTTCTACTCTCCATTTCCTTTGATTTCGGAATCCAGTTTAAATGACTCTTTAATACTGCCACTTTTCAATTTTCTCCTTTTATCCTCACTGTCGAAGGCATACCAAAGCTCAGTTTTCTGTTCTATGCTTGTGGATGTCAGTGAAATTAGTAGACAGTTTTTCACGCAAAGAGTAGTGGAATCTCTCCCCAAGGCTGTGGATGCTGGATCCACTCACATTCCCAAGACAGGGGTAGAGGGATATTTGTTAGGTCAGGGGCAGGAAACTGGACTTGAGGTACAGACCAGCCATTATCTTATAAAATGACAGAACAGGCTCCAGCGGCTGAATAACCTACTTCTGTTTCTGTGTTTCTATGCTGAGTTTTCAAATAACATTTTAGGCTAAAACATTTCTATAAGTTAAAAGTAAATCAAAATACAGAACTGTGGAACACAGTAGGTTTGAAAATTACCATGATTTTGTTCAGATATAATGGCTGATTGAAAAATGCTCATTACCAATACAATTGAACCAAGAAAAAGGAATAAGCTCTCCAGAAAAGTAATGACTCTTCTTGGGGGGGTGTGGGGAGAAGTTATGTTACTTCAAGAACTTGAGCAATTTAATGCATTTTCAAAGCATCACCTTAGGCTGCCCAGATTTAGACTGCCTAAACTGATCCATTCACAGGTTAAAGTATGTAGTGTAGAAATCTTCAGCACAGGAAATAATTTTTATATAATTAATATATTCTTACCTTTGCAACTTTATGATTCGCTGCCGTCTCATGAGAGGTATTTTGCAGCCCATCTTTTAGCTGTGTGATAAACTGGTCATACCCTTCTATATACGACACTTCCACCTTCTCCAGACAGGCAGACAGCAACTGCTGGGCCTGCATAGGGAAGAGCACAAAACATACATAAGCTACCATCAAAATAAGCATGTTTGCATTTTATAGACAAAATTATTTTTGTTGATCTAGGGAAATTAAATTGGCTGTTCATTTTGTAGCTTGGGAGAAATTGCTGGCACAGGTTAGCTGCCGCATTTGCCTATATTATATTCACTGAATTTCTAATCAATTGCATTTTGTGCAGTGCTGTAACCAGTTTATTTTTATATGAAAGATGCTGTAATAATCACAGTACATTGGTAGCAGATTCAAGTCCCAGAACTTGCTTAAATTAAAACCTGCTGATCTCCATTGCCAAGTTAGATGGATCACAAGATATCAGTACACATTTCTAAAGAGCATCAACTTTAGAAGAGGTAACCCTGGTTATCCCTGTGTGTCAGCCTGGCTCACTAGTAGCAATCTCACTTCTGAGTCTGAAGGTTATGGGTTCAAGCCCCACGTCAGGACTTGGAATATAGTCTAAGTTGATACTCCAATGCCGCGCTGGCGGAGGCGGGGTTGCATTGCTGGAAGTGACACCCATGAGACATTAAAACCAAGATCCTATCTGTCTGTTCAAATGGACGTTGAAAATCCCATGGCGCTATTTGAAAAGAGAAGTGAGTTTCTCCTGGCCAACGATCCCGCGGATGAAATTGGTCACTTGCTCCATGGCTGTTTGTGGGACAATGCTGTGAACAAACTGGCTTCTACGTTTCGCCCAAGTCAAACTACTTGACACTATATCCTGTGAAGCACTTAATTCATGATAAGGCTCTATATCAAATGCAAGGATAATTATCATCTCCTATATACCAGAAATCAAATGAATGTTCTGAACTTTACAGGATGAGTTTACATCACACCAACTGCCAAATAAATTGTTATTCCAAACATTAAAAGACTATATTGAGAAATACATCAAAACTCAGTAAATGTTCTTACCTCTGTAACTGGCAATTCAAGCTGAACCACATCATCCTGCTTTGAGACAGGAGTCTGCAGCGCTGTATCAAGCAGTAAAATTCCATTCAGATCTTTCCTACATCCCACTGCATAGTCACCCACAAAGACAACTTTATCCACCGCTGGAAAGTACTGACATTTCACCTGTCCGCCTGGTTTTGCTGAAATAGATCAATTAATAGTGTTAGATAAGCAAAATTTGGCTTGCTTCCAAAATTTGCCTTTAATCTACAAATCATAGTGATACAGGCAAGTAGTGCAGTGCACAATAATTCAACTGCAAATCGGAAGAAGTCATTCCTTCTAACTCCTGAAGTAATCTCAAAACAAAATAATGAAGATCATCAGGGTTTAATCCCAAAGAAAACAGCAGCCTAAATCTTTTCCACATGCTGTATTTAAACCCAGGACTCAAGATGAAACTCAAAAGTGCTGAAGCAAACTAGAATAAATAAATAGTCTAACTATACAAACTATAACATTGCAAGAAGAGCATTCTTTTAAACACTGTTGTATCATTTTCACAAGTCAGAATCCTAACCAGTGGATTCCGGGTGTATTTGGTATGAGTAAATATTTATATTACCCCATTATCTCGGTCCCTCTATCAGACTTCAATCCCTCATAAAATCTACTTCTTCAATCACCACTACAGTCACTTCCCACCTCTCCTTTATCCCTTGTTAAGCACCTGATATCACCTCTGTGAAATTAGAGTCATTAACCTATATAAATGAAGTTGTCATTGTTGAATAACTGTGCACTAAGGTGCTAAATAAGCTGCTGGGAACCCAACTCCCTTGACTTTCTCAGTAGATAAAGTTGGGAACACTGCATTTTTTTTTAACGATAGTAAGGGGGTTCTAACAAAGACCGTGGAGATTTAGGCCTTGGAGGCAAGGAATATACAGGAACCAAGTTGTGAAATATATACCTCATAGTATTCTGTTTATAAGAATCCCAAAGGATGTTTAAGAAAACAAATAAAACCAAACTATTTGTAAGTTATTACAGACACTATCCAGGAGAGGAAACAGAAATGTCCAGAGAAGCCAGAAACAACCAATTTTGGAGACTGGAAGCTGTTGGTCAACAACTTAAAGGTCCTATGATTGCTCCACACCATCACAGGGTTCCGAATACAACAAGTGCATACGCCACAAAATCTAAAACCTACTTATAGGATCAGTAAACTAACTGCTCAAGTTTACGAAAACTACTGTACATCAATGAAAAGTTGTCACATGCTCAGATGCCGTCTATTGGTGTGTGTAGGAGAGCAGGATGGAGAAGAAAAATGATGGCTCCAAGATGATGGAAAGGATGGCTCCTTTGTGCCATTGTACCCCATGATATCAGTCAGCACTGGTATTGCAACAATAACTTGGATTTATGTAGCGCCCTATACGCCGGATGGCGTCTCAGAGCGCTTCACAGTAACGGATCCCGGGGCCGCGCCAGGGGAAGGGGAGGAAGATGACCAAAGGCACGGTCAAAAAGAGAGGTCTTCTGCCGAGACTTGAAAATAGGAAGAGAGGGGGCGAGTCGAAGGGAGTGAGGAAGGGAGTTCCAGAGCCTCGGGGTATAGTGGCTGAAGGCACGGCCGCCGAGGGTAGAGCGGAGGACTCAGGGGACAAGGAGGATGCCAGACCCGGAGGAACGGGTATTAATTTATTAAGGACTTCTATTGCTGTACTATAGGAACTAATAATAATAATAATCCTTGCATTTGATATAGCGCTTTTCACGTCGGGAGGACGTCCCAAAGCGCTTCACAGAATAGACTGTAAAGTGAATTGACTGTATATTTGTGGGCGAACGCGGCAGCCAATTGCGCACAGCAATGTCCCACAAACAGTCATAGATTGAAAATCACCAATTTATTATTGTTTTTGGTTTTGGAGGGATTATTATTAGGCTCTGTGTGGAGTAAGGAAACTTGCCCAAGGTTTCGCCCTGACCTGCCTGGAATTGAACTCAGGTCTCTCACTTGCAAAGCGAGTGCTCTAACCACTGAGCTACAGGACTAGGTTTGTATTTCCATAATTAAATTGAACATTAGACTCCATTAATCAAATTGATCTATATCAAATCATATTTTTGGTTGATTCAGGGCCATGCAACTCAGTATCACTCAATTTAATAAAAACAAGAGTTTTATCTCAAATTCCTACAAATTGAACTAGTTATCTATCTATCCCTTCCTCAGTCCATAATAAGTCAAATGGACATCAATTTTTTTTATTTATCAGCCAACAAACATAATATGTACCCTATTTGTCCTCTTACATTAGCCAAGAAGGAATGCAAACAGTAATAGGAAGTAGGATTCTCAGCCATGAAAGCCCAATTTTGAGTCTATACCATGGTGTCAAATGAAATGCAAGAAATATTCAGAAATCAAGGTGAACCTGCTGTTTAGTATCCTGCCCTCTAAGAAATTCAAATGATTGACAATTTCTAACACCAACTTGTAGCAAAGTGATATTGTCGATACCAAAGGGCTTTCGAGGTCATTTTTTAAAAATCTCACTTTCATGTGGAAATTTAATCATAATTTTTCAAAGGCATCTTTAATGGGATACAGACAATTGGTGCATGACAGCGCTAAAAGATATTTCTACAGAAATGGATTTAAAAATTCAGAAGTATTGGAGTTCTTTATTGCAGAGCATTACCTTCAATAATTTTAATAGCAATACTGGCATGCTTAAACACACCCAGCAGGGACTGTGAGCATCAGGTGAGCCTATGTAAACAAACAGTCACCACATGTTTCATTCGAGACAGATCAAATACAATCGTAATCTACATCTCACATTTCTCATGTTCAGCTGTGTGCCTGGTCTTATTCTTCTCCACTCTGCAGTAGGCAACAAACACTTGGTAGAGTTTTAAAGGTTTTCAAGGTAAAAGCACAAAAATATACAGGAGTAGGTACATATCATTTGTATCTAATTTTCAGCGAGAATTGAATAGATCAGATTGCTCACAAGTGGAGGGCATCATAAAACACTTTCTAATGTGGCATCCTCGTCCTACAGACTTCTAATTTAATCTCTGCTGCCCATGTATAACAATTCCAAATAATTGTCATGAGAACAGTAATAAAGTACATAAAAGGTTGAACTCAGTAGCATGAAACATTTTTCAGTCTGTAAAGGTTATTGTGGTTGTAAAATAACCCTTTGCAAGAACCAGTCACGATAGAAGTCAGCCAAAGTGACCTCCTCACTAGCCGAGCCAAGGTCAATCAAACCAACAATCAGATGGTAAAGCAGCCGCTGGGATTTCCCATCCAATTCTTCCTCCGTAAAAGTAAACATCAAGCTTCTATTTGGCACTTCCTCAAAATGTACTGCCAAGGCCTCCTCACGATGAGAATCAGATGTGAAACATTGTTCCAGCACGGCATAACGCTATCGAAAACTCAAAATACGTTTGGCAGAACTACAATTTTAGTTCATTCAATAAATCATCTCAATTCATACAGGGGGAGGGAGAGGGTAAAAGAGAAAGAGAGAGAGAGAGACACAGAAAATTAGTGGGGAATGGGGGAAAAGATTATAAAGTTAATAATGAAGAGAAAACTAGAATATTGTTCATCAACGGTAGTGAAGGAGTTAAATTTGCTACAAATTCACACAAGAAACAGCAGCATCCACCAACGCCCCCAACTTCTTTCAGTCACAATTTTGAAACGTGCTTTTTTTTCAAAATGGCAAGTAAATCAACTGTTGAGACATCAATACAAAAAGGTTCATTTATTGTATGGGCTTATGGTCCAGAAAAAAAAGAGTTAATTTATTTAGTGCCGGTCTTATGGTCCAGAAAATTTTAAAATCTAATTTTAGAACATTGAAAATGCAGCTAAACATGTTAATAATATTGTGGCTTCTAACTGTATTCTGAAGAAAATCAAAATGTCATGGCAGACTGTATCGTAAGCATTATAGATATAAAATGCAGTCATTTAAAATGCAAGTTAACCAATCTGCAATCTTAATTTGAAAACTAAATTCTGATCACAATGTGATTTTTTTAATGGAATTGCTACAATGATCTTAAGAAAATATCAGAAATATGCCGATTCGATAACAACTTTTAAAAACGCAGTGGACGGGTATTTGAGGAGGATGGGTTTGCAGGGTTATGGGGAAAGGCTGGGGAGTGGGATTGACATTACATTGCTCTTTTCAAAGAGCCGGCACAAAATCGATGGGCCAAATGGCCTCTTTTTGTGCTGTACGATTCTATGATATGAATGCAGCTTTAACAAAACCCAAAATTTATCACAGATCAACTTGTAGATTTCTAAAAACAATGGAAAAATTAGAGATTGCTACACACTTCTGGTCTAAGATGAATAATGCTGGGCAATGCATTCAAAGAATATTTTAAACCATAAAAAAATTTTTGCAATCAATTAAAAAAGGAATAATTTGCAATTGTGTCCAGAAGTCAATTTTTTACAATAATTAATTATGAAACTTAAAACCAAGGATTTTATTTCTAAGAACCAGACATCACACCATTTTAAAAACCTAAAGTGAACCCAAATTCAAACTATAATGCACTTTCTCCCTCCTTCACATCTTTGAGCTGCTTTGTCTTCTTACTAAGCATTTGTAAAAAGGCGTGGTCCTCTGAACAAAGGTTTACCCTATTTTTTTCCCTATAATATACTATACAAATTTACCATAACAGTTTACCCATACATCATTTTAAAACAAACCAGACTTTTTAATTAAAAAACGACTTTGACTTCTAAAGATACAAATACAATACAAAATTACATTTGTAAAGCGCCGTTCACATCAGGAGGACGTCCCAAGGCACTGAACAGTCAGGGATTAGGACCCGAGTGGGGGAGGAGTTGACATTAGGGAAAGTGGTGGGCAGAGAGGGTGGCCGAAGGCACAGTCGAAAAGGAGCATCTTGTGGAGTACTTTGAAGGAGGCGAAGCGAAGGGAATGTGGGATGGAGTTCCAGAGGGTAGGGGCAGAGAGGCTGAAGGCCTGACCGCCAATGGTGGGGTAGCGCAGACAGGGGATATGGAGCAGGTCAGAGCCTGCTGAGCAGAGGGAGCGGGCATGTTGATAAGGGGTTAGCAGGTCGGAGAGGGCAAGGCTGCAGAGGGCCTTGAAGATAAGGATGAAGA